TTCAAAGATTTCCACATCTGGCTTAAAAACAAAACCATCAAGCATGAAGGTGGATGTATAAAGGTCTGTTTTACTTAGAGTATCGAGTCGATGCATCGAATAATTAATACTGTAACCAATTTTCAGTACAGAGATATTTTGATTAATACAATAACAATACAATTCTTTAATAGATGTCTCTTCCAACAAGATATTGACTTTAAGTACATCGCGAAGCCTTTGACTTGCTTCGCTTAACGACAACAAGTTGAACCTTTAATATAAAATCGGTTCGAAAAGCCGTGCAATTATGAAAATTTGTAGAAAAACCCCTTTATGAAATTCTGGTCGAGATTTGGCGCAAAATACATTTAAAATAAAGGTGGTTATACCGGTTACTACTTAGTTATATTGTTAAAATGATATTTTTCCTTTTGTTAAGGGCTCTCGTTTCTCTACACATCTTGGTTTTATCGGGTTTGCATGAATATTTCCACAAGAAATACGCAAAACATAACCTGAATTGGCTTAATCGGTGCAGAACTTTAATCGTATATAGCTAGAAAACTAGTGAAAAGAATCTCAATTATTGTGGAGTAAATTTCTTTTTAATAAGTATTTAAGAACGTTGGCCAACTTTCAGTACTACTTTAATAGTGAGCATTATCAAAAAGTGTGAATATAGAAAAATGATGTCGAGGTTTGTAAAATAATGTATTATTGTCCAATGTGTCCGATGGGTTGTGAAATTTTTTGTCTCAACTAACAAATGCATTCAAAATTTCGCTTTTGCTCCTTGCTCAAAAATTCCCCATGGATTAGGAGCGATTCCGATTAAATCAACGTGTAGTGAGGGAAATTAACCCATTCCCTGCCTTTGTATCTGCTTGACCTGAAGCCAAAACTTAGTGTACTCGCTTGGGTACAATGGCTAAATACTTAGGTTTACATTTTTATACCTTGTACCCGTAGGGTAAAATTGGTATACTTGTATTTGGCTTGGGCAAAGTATATAACAGACAAAAGCAAGCATCTCCGACCGTATAAGTATATACAAGTATTCTTAATCAGCATGATAAGACAAATCGATGTAGACATGTTGGACAGGCTAGATTAACGCCTGGATTTCCGAAACTGTTGAGTGCAAATTAACCAAACTTGGTAGGGTACACGAGTTTAGCACTTATTTTATTTTTTGATTGTAATAACTTGACAGAGTCAAGCAATTTTCCTGTAAATTAAAAAAAAACAAGATAGAACGCTACAGTCGAGCAAGCCCGACAGTAAAATAGACTGTACTCTCCACAAAAAAGAAAAATTAAAAAAAAATTAAATTATTAAAAAAAGTTAATGAATTAATTAATTAAATTAAATTAGAATACATGTTTATGTTCAGTTTTAACAGCATACATTTACATCACGTACCTATGCGTGTTTATATGCGGTATGTATGCAGCACAAAGTTGAACCAAAGCAGCAACAACAACAACAGCTGCGGGCAGCGCTGCCGACAGAGCTGCAGGCAGCGCATGACCAGCGATTTTACTTATGGCTATAACTTTCTTCAGAATTGACCTATCATGATGAAATTTGGCATACGGACACATTAGTACTAACTGGATGTACCTACCAAAATTGATTTCAAAATTCCGAGAATTACGGAAGTTATAAGAAAAAACACGAATTGCGGGAGAGTGGGGGGGTGCATCGAAAAAAAACTCAAACTCGTACTTTCTCGGTCTTAGGAGAATATGGAAACCAAGTTTGGTTATTCTAGCTCTTATACTTTCTGAGATCCTTGCGTTCATACGGACAGACGGACAGACAGACGGACGGGCGGACAAGGCTATATCGACTCGGCTTCTCATCCTGATCAAGAATATATATAATTTGTGGGGTCTGCCACGCCTCCTTCTGTGTGTTACATACATGCGCACAAAACTAGTATAGCCTTTCACCCTTTGGGTACAGGCTATAATTATCTACAATTTTTAACAAATAGTGGCTTAAAAAGTTGTTTAGAAAACAAAACCTGCACAACAATTTTGGTTTACAAATTTGCGAGCACCAATTAGAACCACTCAAAAATAATATAGATATAGGGTGCTCCATAAAGTCCATAAAGTGGTTTATTTTCAAAAATTCAAAAAATATAACAAGAACGGCACCAGTAACAGTTTATTCGAAAGAGCAAACATTTCCAATTTTTTTGAAACACGATTACAGTCGTGTGGCTGCCTCGCCTAGTTTCCCAGTCCCGCATCCTATTAATTCTGGTTTTTAAGAACTCGGTGACGGTTTGTGGCTCTTCCTCACGAACGCTTTCCTAGGTACTCATCTAAGGGGCCAAAATCGGTAACATCGGTCCTTAACGGAACCCCACACTAAAATTCGAACGGCGTCAAATCAACTGACTTCACCGAGACCAAAGATCGCCCACGCCCTCTTTCCAGCGGGAAGGAGCTGTCACTTTCAAAAATAACGTAATATTTTGAACAGAATAACCCTATATGGAGCACCCTATATTCATTAAGAACAACTGACTACGTAGTTAAACCTGTCAGCAAGCTCCACTTGCTGGTGCTATAACATTTAAATTCCGCGCTCAAATTATTTGTACGTATGTATAGTACATGTATGTAGTCCAAGTGAATGTGTTTATTTATAAAACAAAGCTTTAAGCACGTGCAGACGCATTTTCAATGGCCTTTAAAGATCGCAATCATTACTGCTAATGCGGTTTGGTATTTACATAAATACATATATGTATGTACAAGGGCGTACGCAGCAAAGGGGGGCGCAAAGGGAGGGGCAAAAAATTAAAATTATAATTAAATAATGCACGATGCTTTGAAATAATAATTAATGCATATGATCAATAAAAAAACTTCAACAAATCCAACTCATTTCCATTTTAAAGCGAAATAGTGAGACATAATATTGAATGTGTGGTCGACTTTATATAGCAACAAATGGGGCCGTTGCCAACCCCCCTGCCCTCCCCCTGCGTACGCCCTTGTGTATGTATAGTACATCTGTAATACTAGGAACATTTTATTAGTTTGCGGAAATAATAAATTAAATTGTGTAATTGGAAAAAAGATGCAAATTAAATTTGACAACTTAATAGATACATGTAGCTAGACATTTCGTACTGGTGCCGGTTTATTGCCGCTTATACGAAGTCGCACGTATAAATTCCCCTACCCAAAAATAGGCCAATACCTTAGAAATACCGGGGTCAGATCATGATACAGAGAAGATAGGAGGTATGCCAATAAAAATTGCAACTTTTCATTCTCATATACTATATTACTACAAAAAGATGTAAATTAAATTTGACATTAACTTAGGCAAATACTTGTATGTATGTGTTGACATTTTATACTAACTAACTTACTGACTCAAAGCCGGTTTATTGTAGCTTACTTGCACATTTGGGGTGTCGTACTGTGCGCTTTGAATGCCCACTTATTCATCCAAAACCAATGATACGAGTATAATAAATACAAGGCTCAGATCCAAATACAAAGAAGCTAATATTGTACATGCTTGTATGTACAAATTACTGGCAGCCGAATCTGAAATCGACGGCCTGCTCGATCGTTGAACTTTTTTACGGCTTACTTGAATGTGGCTACTTAATTTTTTGCGTAAAATCAAATCATTCTCACTCGTGGCAGCAGTTATTATCAAAATGTAGATATTATGGCTACGCCACAAAGCTGTTTGTGACGTCAAATACAGAGAGAGCTCCAAAGAATAGATTTCAGCAATACCATACCTTCTAGCTAAATTGTATCAGTGGCTAAGTAAACATAGCTCGAAAAGATGGCACGAAAAAGTAGAATATAAAATATATATATAAAGAAATCTGATTGTTTTTAATAAATTATTAACATCCTCTGTGTGAGCTCTTTTTTTTTATTATTATTTACCATATCAGATTTTGACAATTTTACTTGTATTAATTTCAATCATTATTTTTTAGTTGTTGTATATTTTTATTTTGTACTAGTATAAAAACACAAATTTTGATTTTTTTAGAACTTATGCAAGCTAATCGCATTCGTAATGTTGATTTTTCATAAAAACGTTGGAGCCCCTTTTCCCTCCTTTATAGTTAGAATTTTCCAAGGACACTTAAGTCTCTTTCCGTTTGGGATGAGCACTCTTGATGCCTGATGATAGCCTTGCCGTGCTCCAATTTTCCATGGGAAACCCCAAAAAAAAATATCAAAAAATATTGTATGCAGTTAATTTTGTTTTTTAATTTTCTGTAGTGTTTTAAGAGCAATTTTGGGAGCGCCTTTTCCCTCCTTTAAAGTTAGGATTTTCCAAAACCCCATCCGAGTGCTCATCTATAGTCTGAAAGGATACTTGAGTTTCAATTTGAGCTTCCTAGCTCTTACCCTTTTGGGCTGCGCGTTCATTATCAATCAGTCAGTCAGTCAGGAGAAACTGTTAAATATATGTATATATTGGCTAATGTCACAAGCAATTATTAATAGCAATATGTGTATGGAAATTAACAAAGTTTTGCAATACACATTGAGAGAGAAAATTAAGTAAATAATAACAGGGTCGGAATTACAGCGTTATGTGATATGTGTTTACAAAAAGCCCGAAAAGGCAATACTAATCAATATTAGTTGAAGAAATGACTTACCATTTAAAAATATAATTTGCCATTTGATAAAAGATATCTAAATAGTGCGAAAGCCCAAGGCACCATCGCATTTAATCAAACCTACGATCTAAAATCTTCAAGCAACCTTATCAGAAGTGCTTGATTGCTTTGGGCGCTACATTATTAGAGAGACATAATCAGCATGCAAAGAGAATATAGCTTTTAGAGAAAATTCGAAAGCAACCCATTCACAATCCGGAGCTGCGGAGAAACGTGCGCTGCCATGCGATCGTGTTGTTAATGTTGATAGTAGATTGCTGGCAGCGGCAGTGGCAGACAGTACGATTCGCGTCTCTGTGCCGTGCACAGCGCATGAGTATGTTGTAAAAATAAACTTATATACGTAGGTGTATATATTTCATGTAAAATCGTGGCGAAAAGATTAAGAGAAAGAGAAATAAGTCGGACACTAATTTCCATTACCAAATGGCACCGACAGTAACAGCCGCCGAGGCGCCACCGCCGACAGTAAGTACGGTGGCGGCAGAGCCACAACCACCTCCAACTGTAACTGCCAGCGACCAGGATGAGTTTACACTGGACGCCATACTGAAGCGCATTGGACAGTTCGGGCGCTTTCAGTTGGTTATATTTCTGCTTATCTGCTTGCCCATGATGTTTCATGCGATGTTCTCGGTTACATATGTTTTCACGGCCGCCACAGTGGTGCATAGGTAAGATTTGGCCGATTCCATATGCACGAGCAATATCTAAGGCTGTATCCAAACAACAGATGTAATATCACAGAATGCGATAATTCTGCGAGTCAGTACATAGAGCCATGGACTGAATACACCATTCCGCTGAACGGCAAAGAACTGGACAAGTGTAACCGGATTGCTAACAAACAAATGTCCCAGGGGAACGAATCCTATGAGCTAAACATTTGTGTTGTCGAAAACTATGAAGACCAACCAACTGAGAGTTGTCCCAACAACAATTTCATATTTCGGGATGAAGAAGTGACCATTTCTAATGACGTGAGTATCAAAGTGCGAAAGCCGAGTGACTATGCGATTAGCGCAGACCCCAGCGGCGCGACGACTTTGTCTGACAAGGGGGGTCTTTATCAGGTAATTGACGCTGCGTTAGCAGACCATGACAAATTTATAAGTATGTAGCAGTGCTTCGAATATTGATAATAAATCGTCCGATTTCCCCACATGTTCCCGTCTTGGGTCTGATTCCAATTAAATACAGGCGCCCAAATAAGGGCGCGAAATATTACATGTTACGCTATGCAAATGCCTAATATTGTATACCACATCAGTGCAACAATTTGTTAATATAGGTATATAAGTATTTAGTTTCATGTTCACATAACTTGATTGTAATTTTTATTTACCGCTAAAAATGCCAAAAAAAATTTCCAGAAATTTTTCGATAATACATCACGTCTCAGAGAATTACATTCACCGAATAAGTAGCAGCTGTGGAAGCGGGCAAAGGGCGGCCCGTGTGGTTTAGTTAATGTGAAGGAGCGTAGTGGCTTAATCAGTAAATTGACGTGTAGGCGCGAGACTGGTTGCTCGTGTGTCATACGATTCTCGCACATATCTCAATGGGTACGGCTGTCCCATGCGCAGCGCTACAAGATTCAACAATTCTAGATTCGAATTAACAAACAAAGAATGAAATGGCATATGAATAATTTCGGATTATTCCTACATTACATTGTACATCGCGCCATTCAAACCGATATATTTGTAGGTATACGAGTAGATGAAACTTTTCCACTAGGTTTTTATTGTTATAAGCATATGAATGTTGATTGGTTCATTTTTTGTCAATGTCGCTTCTATTTATAGTTTGGTATTTTTTGCAATGAAGAATGGAAATTATCACTTGTAGGCACAATAAATAATCTCGGCCAATTCTTTGGAATACCTATTGGTGGATTCGTTGCAGATCGGTATGCGTTTTCGCCTTATTGTTTATTTTTGATATCCACCTATTTGAATTTTCTCACCAGCTATGGCCGCACTTTCTCCATTGCCTTGGGAGGCACTCTGGGGGCGCTGCTGGGTGTAATACGCTCCTTCTCCCCCAGCTATATATGGTTTATCATCTTCGAGTTCCTGGACAATCTGACCAGTAGTACCTTATATTCGACATGCTTCATTATTGGCATCGAGTTGGTTGGACCCAAGTATCGGGTGTGGGCGTGCAGCCTCATTACTATTTTCTATGCGGTAGGCGAGGTTGCCCTGGCCATGTTTGCAAAGGCTTTTCAGGATTGGCGCGCGCTTTTGCGCGTCACTTATATGCCTTCGCTCATTTTATTGGCCTACTTCTGGATATTACCGGAGAGCGTGCGTTGGCTTCTTAGTCAGGGCAAGGAGAGCCAAGCTACGGACATTTTGAGACGCGCTGCTAGAGTCAATGGACGTAAGCTATCAGAGAGCGCACTCGATAAGCTAGTCGTGTGCAATCGCGAAAAGTTACAACAATCCCAAGAGAGCAAATTCCCTATCAAAGAAGCCTTCAGCAACTTTAAATGGCGAATTGCAAACTGTTCGTTCTGCTGGATTGTTCACGTCCTCGTCTACTATGGACTCAGCTTGAATGTGGTTTTGCTGGATGGTGATAAATATAACAACTTCGCCTACATTGCCTTGGTTGAAATACCGGGATTCCTAGTGCCACTTCTGGTCATGGATCGCTTTGGCAGACGATATTCTCTCAGCGGACTGATGATACTAAGTGGGCTCTGCTGTATAGCGACAATTTTTGTGAATGGCGACAACTATATCTGGCAGCTAATCCTCTTCTTGGTTAGCAAGTTGACCATCACTGCCAGTTTCCAGGTGCTCTACTTCTTCGCGTCTGAGATATTTCCCACAAATCTGCGCAACAGTTTGCTGAGCTTCTGCTCAATGATGGGACGATTCGGGTCTATGCTGGCCCCTCAGACACCACTTTTGGCAAGTAAGAACTTTCAAAGCCATACGAAATTACTAACTGATTATTTTGCAGGCCAAATATTACCCAAATGCTCCATTAATACTCTTCGCCGGTGGGGCTATAATTAGCGGCTGTCTAACGCTATTCTTCCCGGAGACTACCAATATTGTACTGCCCACTACAGTGAAGGAGGCGGATGCTATAGGTGTAAAGAAAAAGCCTCCTAAGAGTAATGATATAGCCATATAGGCAGTAAGTAGCAATAAATAGATCAGTAAGACACAACCTAGTCTAAGACAAATCAAATAGGTACTAGCATACACGTATATATTTAGTTCCAAGCTACACCCACATGGAGCTTATATGATCAATACACTGCACATACTTACGAGTATGTGCCTGCAGACACCAGATATGTTGTTTTGAATTCGACTGCAGCAGCGTGCACTTGACTTGGCTGCTGATAAGCCTTCGCTCTGACGACAAATGTGACTGAAGTCTTGACAACAGATGGCTGCGTAGCCCACCTGAGATACACTTAGCTGACTTACTGATCTCGGTAGCACCTTTGTGCTATTTTTGCCAAATTACGGCGACTGCTGTCCGACGCTTTGTGCTATATAAGGGCACCTGTGCGCACCAAAATGCAACAGTCTTTAGGCATTGGACCTTGTTGAGTGAGTCTAATCCGGAGCAGTTGAAGGCGAATAGAAGGAGGGACAGCAGGCGTCAACATGAAGATTGCTATTATTTTATGGGCATGCGTGGGACTGGTCGCAGCGGCCAGCTTCCACAAGACGCATGAGGTCCAGATTGCGGACAAGACATTCCTCGAGAAGCAGAAATTCCTTTTCGAAATTGTCTACCGTGTTGAGGATCCTCTGATGTTTGAGGAGTATATCAAAATGGGCGACAAATTCTACTTCGATGAATCATATTACACCGTAAGTTAAAAATTGGGCGCACAATCTGAAAAATTCTCTCAATTTTGTATTCTACGTGTACTTTACTGCAGCATTATGACCTGTACATGACGAAATTCTGGGAAGCCTATAAGATTAACGCCCTGCTGCCCAAGGGCGAGTTCTTCGGCGAGCTGGCCATGTCTCATGCTAAACAAGCTCGCGGTCTGTTCAACTTCTTCTACTATGCCAAGGATTGGGAGACCTTTAAGCACAACGTAGCTTGGGCCCGCATGCACGTCAACGAGGGCATGTTCGTCTACGCGTTGACGCTCGCTGTCATCCACCGCGATGACTTCCACGGCCTGATGCTTCCCTCCATATATGAAATCTTCCCGCAGTTCTTCTTCAACAGCAAATTCATCTATGAAGCTGAGAAATTCGACTATGAAATGTGGATGAAGATGAACATGTATGAGAAAGAGTATATGGATGTGTTCTACAAAGGACGTGGCAACAAATACCAATATGGTGACTACATGTACATGAAGGACTGGAAAATGTGGCAGTGGTGGAAGCTGATGGGTCTTGGCGAGCACTGGTATTCTGAGCAAAAGTTCATGCTGCGCGAAAATATCTACGAATTCAACCAGGACTCCAAATGGTTGACCATGATGAAGGATCTCAAAGTTTGGTGGATGCCTGTCGATTATACCCGCGATCTGGATGTTTACAACGAGGAGTCCAAACTGTCCTACTTTACCGAGGATTTGGGCTGGAACGCTTACTGGTATTACTTAAATTTGGACTACTCGTTCTTCTTGGATGGCAACACCTTCGGTTTGAAAAACGATCGTCGTGGTGAATGGTGGTTGTACAACGTCCACCAGTTGCTCTCTCGCTACTATATGGAACGCTTGTCGCACGGATATGGTGAAATACCAGAGTTCGCCTGGTACCATCAGATCGAGATGGGCTATGATCCTCAGCTGATCTATTACAACGGTATAGGATATAGCTACCGCAAGAACTACTACGAAATGGAGACATACGGCAATTTCGACATGCTCAACCGCATTACAAGCTTCATGAAGCGCGTCTATAATATCATCGAGATGGGCTACTACAAGACAGTGGATGGACATATGATCGATATGCGAAAGCCCGAGTCGATTGAGTACATTGGCAGCATGATGCAGGGCAATGTTGATGCCATGGACAAGATGTTCTACCAATTCTGGTATATGCTGGCACATATGTACTTCGCTGACACTGACTATCATCAGATGGATGTCTACCCGAACGTAATGCTGAACTTTGAGACGATGATGCGCGATCCCATGTACTACATGTTCTACAAGTCCATTTCCCAAGTGTACTTCAACTTTATGCATTATCTACCAAAATACACTAAGGAGCAGCTTCTGATGCCGGGCGTGACTATGAAGCAGGTGGAGGTCAGCGAACTGGTCACCTATTTCGATCTGGTTGATTTCGACGTTACCAATCTAATGAACGACAAGATGGTGTTCCACGACGGCAAGTTTGTGTGGGACAAGTCCCTCTACGCGCGTCAGATGCGCCTCAACCACAAGCCTTTCAGCTACACCTATACTATTGAGTCGGCCAAGACCGAGAAGGTAGTCATTCGTGCATTCATTGGACCCAAATTTGACGAATACGGTCGTATCATCTCGCTGATGGAAAACCGCGCTAACTTTATGGAACTGGACGAGTTCGTTTATGATTTGGCCGCAGGTAACAACGTGATCAAGCGCAGCTCCAACGACTTCTCCTGGACCGTGAAGGATCGCACTTCCTACACAGAACTGTACTACTACGTAATGATGGCGTACAATGGCAACTATGACTTCCCTCTGGACATGAGCGAGCCCCACTGCGGCTTCCCCGATCGCCTCGTGTTGCCGATGGGCTGGAAAAAGGGTATGCCAATGCAAATGTTCTTCATGGTTATGCCATACAAGGCACCGATTTCGCATGAACAATACTCCACGTTCGACTACACCTACTCTTGCGGCGTCGGCTCTGGAGCTCGCTATGTCGATAGCATGCCATTTGGTTATCCGTTCGATCGCGAGATCGATGAATACGAATTCTTCGTGCCCAACATGTACTTCAAGGATGTCATGATTCATCATATTGACACCATGGAGCCCTATTATCAATACAAGGGCTATACCGATTACGGACACTTCGACTACAGCTTCTTCCGTGACTACTACACCAAATACTTCAAGTTTTAAGCACCTTTGTGCCTCTACTAAGTACGGAGCGATTATGGCGACTAACATCGAACGAACATTCTGAAACTGTTACGGGTAAATGCCCCTTTTATTATCTACTTTTAAACTTGAGCAAAATAAATAGATATTCAAAATAAAAAACACTCTGAGGCAATTAATGAATACCAAAGGGTAAACGGGTTTACTAGTTTAATGTGGAAGCAGCCGATTTAGAAATGTCGATCGTTCTGTGTGACCGCAGGGACCCTAAGTCCGAGAAAGGACAAACATTATTTTTCGAATGCATCCATCAATATTAGTGATTTTCCAAGACTCCCTTAATTATTGGAATTTTAAGCTCAGATTTGGTCCACCATTACACCCGTTAGTCGTTATGTGTTCTCATGCTAAGTTTCACCTGACAGCTGTTGTTGTTGCTGCTTTGGCCTAACTCTGTACGGCACATATGCATTTATATTCACACATAGACGAAATCGCTATGTAAGTACATTTATGAATATGAAACTGTACGCAAATATATACGTCAACGTTCGTGGTTTATTCGTTTTATATATTTTTACAACTTAATTTAATTTAAAAAAAAAATGTAGTTAAATCTATTTTTTATGTGGACTGGGTTTTTAAGAGTCGAACCCCACTATTTAACTTTATTGCTTAAAATCAATTGCTATCCAATTTAATTGGCTTGGGAGAAAAATTGAGCAATAGTTTTATTTCCAGCGGAGGATATTGTTGCGTTATGCTGCTTTTTGTCGTGGGTCGATGGAGACTTTTTACTTGACACATTTACTGTACGGACCTCAAGCTGGTTGAGCTGCCGTTGCAACTTCTTTGCCACGTGATAATCCATATGCTCCGGCATAGACTGGGAGTTGATATAAGCTTGACATTCCTGACAGCGTTCCATGTTTGCATGACTGGGCTCAGTAGGCACCTTGGCGGACAGGAATTTTTTTATATTATTCACGGAACTCGCACTGGAAGAATTTGTTTTATTTTGTCTTTTAGATGTTGATGTCGTAGATAAATTTCCTTTAGCGTCATCTAGTTTATTTTTTTGTGCTGTCTTCTGTTGTTCGGCATGTAGCTGACGTCTTAGCTCTTGCGCATAGTGATGATCATGATGGGTTTGGATAGCTATTGGATCGTCAGGAATTTGTGTACCGCATTGGTCGCATTTTATCATGCTGATTAGGTCAAGCCGCAACTCTGGTTGGGCGTACTCGACATATCTACTTTTAAAGTCCTTATTTAAGCTCGATTGATCTGAATTTTCGTTCAAGTCGCGTATCGATGTTGTTGATTGCTCCTGACCAAGCGGCTCAGGAATGCTCGCATTGGCAGCTTCAATTTCATCTAGCTCAGCAGCTAGAGTTTCAATATCAGGATCGGATTGATCTTTTGGGGCAATAAACTGTTGCTCTTGTACAACATCTTGTTTTTGAGTAGCTTGTTTTAATGAGTTATTGTATTCTTTAAAGAACCCTTTTCGGTGTGTTGAAACTTCAACCATATCAGTAAGCAGCTGCTTCTGTATTTTTTCATCTTGGACTTTTGGTTGCGTCCCCGAGTCCTTCTGGTCACTTTTTTCTTTTTGCAAGTAGTTTGCAAAAAAACTCATCATTTTGCTCTGGCCGGACTCTTTGGGCTTTTTCTGCTCTGGCTCATTCTGGGGCTTGGATAATGGTTCTTGTTCATCCAATTTTCGTTTCTTAGCCGCCTGGTTGGCGAACATTTCCTGGAGCTTTGACTGCCCATTGGTGAGTGTCTCAAATTTACCCACGCTGATGCCAAGGAACTTAATAGGATTGTTAAGCGCCGTATCGCTGCCAGCTCGAAAGAACGTTTTCGTATTAGTTTTCACAAGATCCAGCGCATTTTTGGCTATCATCGCCTGATCGTAGTGCGTTAGTGGCGCGGAACGCGAGCTTGCGACCTCCTCGCCGTCACATTCCTGTACGAACTGGACCACCATTTGCTTTGCTTTGCGATTGTTCTCGTTTAAGTCCTTCTCGAGGCGATCGCTAATTTCGCTTGCCAACTCATTAAACCAATGTTGCAGCGTTTTTAGGCCTGTAATGTTGTTTCGGCCGGGAAACTTTTTACAGCAGCCTATACTTTTCGAGTAGAAGCGCGGTGTGACTGCTTCCAAATCAATGCCACGTGAAATGTTGTAAAGCCAAGATCTGGGAATGTATGAATTGAAAGGAATAAAATTATTCCAATAAACTTCAATTTACCAATCACTCACCCATTTTTTTCATCTAATTTGCGTTGCAATTCTGCCTCACTGTACTTTAAAAGTTGGCCTAAAAACTTAATGCTTAGCCGCTCACACACATCTTCTCCGAACTTTCCACCCAATCCTTTGATCTTTCCCACAGGTAGTGTGTCAAACAGCGCTGGTATCTCGGAAAGAGGCAAAATGGTCTGTTTATTGGGCTTGTTCATTCCAGCGGCCAATTTGGCTAAAATCTTATTGTGGGCTATTCCTGCCGAACATTCATAGCCTGTTTCCGCTTTGACAGCCGCGCGCACCTCTCCCGCAATCCAGGCACCAATTAGGAGTCGTAAGTCGCTTACACGGACAGCGGGCAAATCGTTGTGATCATAAAGCAATTGAAGTCGCTCATCATCAATGTATGGATTAGTTAGATAATTATTAGTTATTTTGTTCACGAAGTCGCCGATGTTTGTGTAACCCACGGCGAAGGTGTTGACTAATTCTTGCGGCTGCAAAGCAAAGGAGCCCTGTCGATTGGGTATAACAATTGGTGTTAAAAAGTTGGTGACCACTGTTTCTACACAAATTAAGTCAAAAACACATATGTACTTATCATGTTACGAAGACTAGAGTTAATGCATTCGATAGTATACTTTTATTAATCCTTCCGTGGTTCCTTATCAAACAGTCTATTAACTTTATATTGCCATCAAAATCCCACGACATTGTTTCGAATCAGTTTATATACTATATATTAACTAAATCAAACATAAGAAGTTTATACATATATATATTGGATGGTATTTTTTAAAAGATAGAGTTCACTTTTTTCCATTAGTCCTTGGATAATGTGCTCTGCAGGTAATTTAAAGCAAATTCAATTTTATGGAATCTATTTATTCGTTATTTACTGAAATGTGTTTATGAATATAGAAAATTCAAATTATTCTGGTGATTGTTATTATATATACATATAATAATAAAATTTTGCGAGACCGATCAGATATGATCTGATATACTTGTACATATAGCTGTCATAGACACGATATTATTCAAAAAGATGGCAGCTGACTGTGAGTATTTGTATTCTTTTTGTCTTACAAATTTTAATTCAAATGTTACCTTATCTTTTTATACCTTGTGCCCAAAGGGTAAAATGATTTTTAAGTTTACTGTCAAAGTTTAATTAATTTACTTTAATTAAAGTTTAATGTAAAGTGCATCGGGGAAGCCCACAAATTTTTATCAGTATGACAAATCAATATGGCCGTGTCCGCTTTTTCTCTTCGTCTGCATAAACGCAAGCATCTTGGAATGTATAAGAGCTAGAATAACCAAAAACTGCCCAAAAACTGCTCTTTCTGATTTGACAACGCTGGCAGCGATTATTGATACCGAATAAAAGGCCTGTACAATGCAATACTTCTAGTCTCCATCATGCACAAGTACACAAACATATCGACGTACACTCACTCATGTACATACATACATACTTTTTGCAACTCCTCCATGCGTTTGTTAACTGCATCTGTTACATCCAGGTATGCCTCATCAACCGACGCGCGTTCCAGCAGCTGCGTAAAGCGTTGCAAGACATTGGCCACCTCCTTTCCGGCGTCACGGTATTTGCTTGTATCGGCCTTCTCCCTTAGGTTCGGCACCTTGCAGAGTATTATGTCGGGGCACAGATCTTTTGCTTCGTCCCCTCGCATGTGTCGTGTGACGCCTTTGGCACGCGCTTCGTAGTTAACTGCTATGATACCTCCTCCTCTCCATGGATTATACTGTACGACCGCCAGCGGCTTTCCACGTCTTTGTGGATCTTCTTTTTCTTCCACTTGACAGAAAAAACAATCCATGTCCACGAGCAAAATTACTCGGTCGTATTTGTTTTGCATGCTCACAAAGTTGCGTGTGGATGCGGAACTACTTGATGTTGACATATTCCTAATAATCGCTTCAGCGCCTCATCTGATAATTTAAACTCAGTTTATAGAAAATGCGCGCAACTGGGAAAACAGCTGAGCATTCACTTAAGACCAGTGGGACCGAATCTCCACCGTCAAAATATACCAAATATACCATACCACAAATATACCAAAAAACCATATAAAACTGTTCTTATAAAAGTAAAACCGTTAATTATATAGCAATGGCATGCTTGCTAAATTTTGTTGTTTCTTTTGCAAAGCCACATTGCAATAACAAGTTATTTGTGACCTAATTGCATATATGTATGTATGTACTATGTACCATAAAGTTGTTTAAAAATACTACTATATACAAAAAGAATATTACTGTACCTGAATTCTGTTTTCGTAAGCCGCCACTTTGCTGGAGAGACGCCCTGTTTTAATAGTCAGCACTGTCTAAAGCAGAAGAAACACGATGTGCGATTAAATGATGAAACTTTTGAATCTTACATAAATAAGAGTTTTAATTATATATATTTATTTGGAAAGTTAACAAATATAATAAAAAATAATAGTTAAGGTACCAAAGATCAAGCAATGGCTTTCGAGGGATTCGTCATCAAGTTACAACTTTAAAACCAGTTCATAATTTATCAAAAATATTTACATAGTTAAGCTTTAACACTGACTTATCCATGTACAAAAAATACTTATGGATTATACGTTTAATTCTAGTACATTATTATGGGAACGATTGGGTATTGTTGATATTGTGCAGTTCTGAAGAGAGCTTTGGATTTATCTTTTGAAAGCAGTACTAGTTTTAAACTTATATTTGAGTTTAAAGGGGTCAGCTGGAAAGAGTCCGTATATGTCGCGTGCCAAATTTTTGTATTCCAGATGAATCATAATCCATAATCATCAACTTAATCTATTTAAGATATAAGGTAATTATATTTTTTTACTAACTACAACTACTATACTTCTATTTTGTGAAATTTTTATCGTGGAACCACCTAGATGTACCTGTGTAGATGTTCGTTAAGAAAATATCGATGAAAGAAACAGAAACAAGAATGAAATGTTCGATTTGAGCGGGTACGACTGTAAAATACCCTGAACTCAATCTCACAAAAATAACAATGTTATTTAAATTTAATTATATACAAATAAATAGAGTATGTGAAAAATATGGCAAATTATATTTATATGGCTGGGTAATCAAAAGAGAAAATATTTGAAACACATTTAGGAAACTACTAGAGTTAGAATAACCAAACTTTTTGTTTTTTTATAATTTAATTAACGAAATTAGTTCAAAAATTAAATGTAAAAAATATGTTTATTTTGTTGATGTACTATGTACAGAGTATTTAAAGTTGGGCCCGCCCGATTCTATCTTATTTTATGTCGTTGAGAGATAATAATTTGTCAGATAATTTAAAAAGCTAGGAGTAATATTGCCTCTAAGATGTCTATTAATAAATTACTGGACCCGGACCAGTGTACCATATATAATAATATTGAGTCGAACAAGTGGTCCGTACTTGACTGAGACCAACGCTAAGCCCAACGCAAATCCAATAACTTTAAATGAAGTAAAAAACGAGGATGAGTAGGAACAAACAAAATCAGCTTGATACTAATATAAACGTTTCAAGTGAGAAATAACGCAACCGCGGTCGATTAATGTGCTTATGAATTTACATATGTGATATTCCTTATATGCTACTGTATTCACTATATTACAGTATTCGACTCGTTTTTTAATTTTTATTCAATATGGAATCATTATCTTTATTTAATAAAATTGTGCAGACATTCTTTAAAATCATGTGATTGTCATATAGCAAGTACTTATTAAGATAGCCTACTTCAAGTGAACATTCACTTTAGAGGATCTCCATACACACATACTTATGTGTCTTTACCTGCCGATTGAAAATCTTCAAAAAGTCCTCTACTCATTATCATATTTAGCCCATAACAAAGAATTTTTGGTATTGCAAATTCGTAATGTTTAATGATTAACCTAAATAAATAAAAAGTTTCTTATAAGAAAGTTAAGATGTATCAGTTTTCCACAAGTTCAATTCCAGTCCTCATCCATTCCTAGCGCATAGCTTGGCTTATTAGACGTTCTTACAAAGTAAATGCCTCGCGCCTCCCGAGGCACTGGATCGCCCATTAATATTTTATCGCCGGTGCAGTTTTTTCCCTTAAGTTCGTCCAGGGTAGTGCAGGGAGAGCCGTAAAACCCCTTTTCGCTGTTGATTGACTCGGCATAGTACTCGTAAGAACGACCATGACTACAACCGGCTAGAAGAGAAAGCAGATTGAAATGCACTTTAATCTTTTAAGCCGCACAGCATCCTTAGAATTTGAAGGTATTTCGCAGCTCGAAATGTGTTGTTGGGTAAATTTTATTTGGCTATGAAAAGACCAGAAAAATACTTACTGAAGATTTGCGCTAATTCGTTGCAGCCTGGCTGTGGGGGGCCGCCACCGTTCGGATAGAAGTCGACCAGACCTATAGGTTTACGAAAACCCAAATATCCTGCACAGCTATGTATAACGTCGACAAAGTTAGCATCAGTGTCATCCAGGTGGTTTTCCGGTCCAATGCAGTCTTCGAAGGCAGGGCGCGCCGGATCCAAGCCAGTAATGCGGCTTACCCGGTATTTTGTGTATGAGCCAGCGTAGCCCATAATATGAGCACCTAGACTGTGTCCAATGAGGTGTATACGATTAGGGTCGCCGCCCTTTTCTTCCACCAGCAAATCAATTAATTTAGCAACCGCCCGGCCCACCTGCACCGTGTAACGCGCTGGCGTCAGGTAGTATATATTGTCTGCCTGATCCTTCCAGTTAATGGCAAAAACATTTACCTGCCCTCGCTGTATGTAGGCCCCGCGAATAGATTCGATTGAGTTGCTCATGGTACTCGATTTCCAGCCATGCACGAGTATCTTTGTGTCTAATTGCGGGTTAAATTTTTCGGCCATTTCCTCCCAGGTGTCTCGCTTAACCCGTTTTCGGTCAAAGTCGTTGTCATTAATCCAAAAGTTAGAAGTGCGAAAGTCATTGGGAGAATCGCTTTTTGAATAGGGTTGTATAAATTAAGCCTCCATGACCGTTTCAAAAAGCCCCTTACCTGCTATAGAGCTCAAACTGTATTAGCTGAGGTAAGCTGATCCGATTCTCTGGTGGGGGTTCGACAAGATATGCTACTTCGGGCTCTCCGTCTCCATTTGGCATGTATATCCAGGTTTTATTGTAATCTTCCTGATTCAGCGCCACCTCGCCTCTTATGCCAACTGCAAATAGTTTGATATATATCCATGTTCAAAAATTAATTAATTGTTTATAATTTTGTCGCATTTGCCATTTACTGAGCAGTAATACTGGCCGAACGACCTGAGCTAATGCGGCAAAGCCAGTAATTAGCCACTGCAAGACGATGAATGTAGTGGACACTTCATTGCGGCAGGGATTGATAATGTTGCACACGCAGGCCAGCGCATTTGAAGACATTTTTCGAGAGTCCTGAATAAAGTTTACACGCACTCGCCACGTCTGCTGGAAAGCGACTGACCCGATGTCTCACAATTAAAACACTACAGATAACAACGATTTCTTAATGTTGAAGCTGTCTGTTTTATGAAGTGCGTTGGGTGTATTGACGCATTTTTAATCCTTTGCTTCGAAAACTGGTTTTAAATTGTTTCGGTTGTACAATTAATTACTCGACGCTTGTAACGACAACAAGCGTTGGTGGTTTCGCATCTTAAAAAGTCGGTCACTCGCGACAAACAAAGAAGACTTAATCATAACTCACCCAACCAGGCCACAGCCACAGCCAAACATAGCAACCAGAGTTCCCTCATTTTACAGATTTTTCAGGCTTTTAACCGAGCTAAACTGTTTACAAGTAAATCCGAGCAGCAAATTTATAGTTGGTGGAGGTGTAAGTGTAAGCCACGATAAGCGTAAACGGACAGGTGTCAATCAAGACTACTACTTGGCTGCTTGTCAAGACTAGCTAAATGGATCAACCTCAATGTCTTAGAAGCTATCAAGCTCAGCTGGCGGTAGACACGGCGCTGTGAATCGGGTCAAAACAGTTTTTATATAAGCCTCACCTTCAGCCCCACCACAGGCGAATTCAAACGATTTCAGCTATCCACGAACTCAACTTGAAATCACATTCGTAAAATTATTTTACAAAATCTTGAACCACGAGTGCGGTCTTTTAATATTTTTGTCTAAAATAAAATATGGCTTATATTTTTTCAAAATGTTTTTCAATAATACCAATACAACCAATACTATCAATTATTATTGATAGACACTGCAATCAAAGTGAAAATGGACATGTTTATTAAAAGGAAACTTAACAAGAGTGGAATGCTAGAGTCCATTATTAATTCTTAAATCAAGTCTGAAATACCATGTACCCACTCCCACAACAACAAACAAGTGGAAAAGCTTGAGTCGACTTTAGTCGAGTAAAGTGGCTATCTTAAAAGATCCGACTGTAACTCAACATTTGTTGTTTCTTAAATCAATTCGTATGGAAAGATAAACATTGTGCCCAAAAAAACCAAATCTGCTTTTCTATTGATATGAATCTAGTAGGGAGTAAAATATTTATTCACAAATTTCATTTTTTAATATTCGCAATATTTTAAATATGAAAAATTCGTTTGTCACGATCATTATAATATACACTTTATACATTATTATTTATCATTACATTTCATTTACATTATTAGATTGATATTGACAAACAATTGACTACCAAGTAGAATATTCAAGCATATAAATGGTCACCCTATCGATTCTAGTACGGAAAAAACAGCCTTGCCATATTTATTTTAAATTCGTTAACCAGCTGGTTTAAAAAAGAACTATATGGCAATGTGATGTTTTCGGTACTCAGACGATTTTTGCATCGATGCTTTCCTAAAAACACCCTTATCTGTCAATATAGAGCTGAAATGTAAACAAGACATTGGGCGCTGGTTTGTTTTTGGCTATAATGGCTCCATTTAAAATTACTAAATTTGTGGAATGGTAAAGCAATTAAGCAAACTTCATCGATTTGGAACAAACAGTCAGTCGCAATGTTTGTTTATATCCTTGCACCAGTGTTGTGTGTGTGTACTTACCTGCGAGTGTAAGTTAATGTGGAAAGTCGTAAGGTGGTAGTCCAAAAAATATAAATGGTATGTTCATAAATGTGCAATAAAAAGTGTCTGCAGTTGAGTATATCAAAAGGGCAAATTATTAAACTTTGCAGCCAATACAACCGAACGCACTTCGGAGGTCTTCAGTGCCTTTGGGCACTGCATGCATAATTTTCGCAGTTATTGATTTTCGGTTAAATAGGGCATTTGCCACTCCAAATATAACATTTCCGACTACGGCACACCTTTCTTCTTTTTTTTTTTGTTGTACTGCGTGTTGGACGGTGCGTCATTTCTGCTTCTGATTTAAGTAGCTGCGCTGCGATGGCCTTATTAGGCAAAGGCACGTAATTTAAATGAAGGAAGGAGCCGACCCAGTAGAGTCAAGTGGTAGTTAAATATGTATGTGTGTAGTAGCATTTACCATCAAGAGGTGAAAGCAATAGTTTAAAGTTGCGCACGAAAGTGAACATATTAGACTCGAAAGCCTGGTTTTGCCTATTGTAGTGTATTAGTATGTAACATTGTTCCTCAATATTAAGTGCACAAATTATCTTGCTAAATTTAAGTAATGGAAAAGCAGATTAAAAGAAGGTTCTGAGCTGAGGTCGAAGTGCCGGAGCTGATGGAGAATTATTTCTAATGCCACCTGAATGGAAAGACACAATCGAACTACGTTATGTAAAAAGCGGAATTAAATAAAAATCTAGCGAGCGAATTAGGTCGAAGTATTTAAGGAAATATATATAATATATATGTATATAGTTTTTCAACACATATGTATGTATGTGTGTATTTAAAGCCGATTTTTCTATGAATTTCTGCGTATATATCGTAATTTCAAAAGTAGTCCCAGGAGTTTATACTACATAAGCTTTCCACCAATTTTTTTTTTAAGTTTCCTTAACTACTTTTTTAATTCAATATATTTATGAACTAAAATGCATAATTGAAGTGCCATCATGTTAAAATGTGCAAAACAAATGCTGTGTAGTAAAGCAATACAAGAATGCAACAGCAAGCCCGACAGTGGAATAGAGGATGAAATTAAAACTGAGCTAGATTGCCGAAAATCAATTGTGGCAGCTTATTAAAGAACTAAAGTCCATAAAGCAAATTGGGTACAAATTGAATTTCGAATTTTTGTGGTTTGGCAAGCATAAACGTTCTTATTATACATATAGTAGTATATGGGACTTAATTTCGGAAGCTTGCGGCAGAAAAGGAAATCATGCTAGGTGTTATTATAACCACACAAATATTAACATTTCTCGGTGATACATTCCGTACGACCACTATTTGGTGATCCATGTCAGGGTTAGATTGTTGCATTCTCTTTACGGGCCAAGCGTCTTTTTTTTAGAGATGTCCGATTAAGCTTAGGGCCTTGACCGTTAAGTATTAAACTGTCTGTTATGGTCTGGTTTACTTGTGTGGTGGCATACCGCAAATTGAATCCGATGCAATGCATAAAAAACCACTACATAATACATGCTCATTGTCTCTTTATATCCGTCCCTCTCCAATACCTTCCGTCCCCACCCCCTCCCACACTCCATTCCCACTCAATTATGTTAATGGTCGAGCCACAGACTACAATACTAGCAGTACTAGTAGCAAGACAAGCAACTTGATTGCGTCAGGCAACAATTCTCTTACGTCCAATTGGCTATTGGAGGTACAATTCGTACATATGTTTGTGTCAACTCGCTTTGGTAGCCGACAAGGTAGCTCACTAACAGGCAGTCGCTTGACGCGCATCAAATGATGAAGTCACTGGGGCGTTGTACAGCGGCGCAAAATAAGGTTCTAAATTAAAATCACTCTTTCTGCTTGCAGTAACGGGCCGCGTCGCAGAGAATTGCCTTCGCCACCATGGTGAAGATTATCCAGGCGTATAATTTTGCCAAGCAGCAAACATATGCACTTAATGGCGAAATACTTTGTGCCACCTTAATAGGATGTAATCGTATCGCTATTAGCAGTGCGGAGCCGTTCATTGAAATTTACGATATTGGAAGCAAGCAACTGGATCAGGATCTACAGCAAGATCTGTCTCCCCAGTCTGAAGCAGAAAGTGGCGACGCTCCGATATCCAACGATGAACGCTTGCCGGCTAAATACATGCTGGCCACTGTTGGCGAGGTGGTGCAGCTGATATACTGTGAGGCAGGTTTGTACCTCATATTTCCGTGCATATTATTCTTGACATTTTGGTAAACTAGCTTGCGCATTTAAAAGTGACCTTGCAAAACCGATCATTGAACTTTTCTAGCATGCATAAGTTTATGAATATAAGAGAGACACGTAATTTAGATAATCATAATGTGTTTATACTTCGTAAGCTGGTCGCTTTGTATATTGCATGATTTCAACCAAGCAATGACTTGTTGTACATATATATGGAGTTGATGTTATGGATTAATTTACATATTTATGTACAAGTTTAACAATGTGTATATATTTTATATTTCGCAGGAAAATATTTGCTCACGTTGGAGAAAGAGCAAGCGGGCAGTCCGGTTCATTCAAACAGCACCAGCATTAGCTGCACGTCTAGCAGCAATAGCAACAATGTGACAAGCGAGGAAGACAGCAAGATGTTTGTACGCATCTATGCGAATTTCTGGAAGTTCCCGGAGGCCAAGCTCAACGAGCTTCCAATTACTATACGCATAGCCTCGATGACCACTCCCAAGGCGCCGCTGGTGGAGAGCATAGATGTTATTGAGCTGCCATTGCGTAGTGCGCCAGAGCTCGTGCAGTGTTGCCAAAACTCTGGTAACATCATTGTTAGCAGCAAGGACCGCATTTATCTCTACGAGTATACACAGTGCGTGCACGAGAACACCCAGCCCCGTTTTGCGTTTATCGACTTCCTGCCTTTTAAGTTCTTTGTACAGCTTAATTTTGTGCCGTTGCGATTGTGCCTGGCAGAAAATGTGATCGCGTGCCTGAATCATCGATATTGTGTGGCTTTTAAAGTAATGGATGCTTTAGCCAAGACCAGTGCGGCAGATGAAAGCTGCATAGAAAATGACGCGCCAGATGATCCTGTCTCTGAGAGCCTAAGTATTGGCAGCAAGGCAAGTGCAGGTGGAGAGGCCTCTACACGCAGTCAGCATAGCTGTGAGAGCGACTCGCTGCAATCATCGAACAGCGCACGTCCTGTGATGTCGAACACGGCTCTAGGACTAGCGGGCCGCACGCCCGTTGATTACAATGTTGCACGTTTGCTAAACGCAGCCTATGGACAAGAGTTCGAAGTAGAGTTACGCTCGCAGTGGGACCAATGCGAGAATAGCCAGTCTCATAACGGAGAAGAAAATCAGGAAATCACAATTACGCCGACGCGCGTTAACGATATCAAAATAAAACTAGTCAACGAAGCCAAGGCTATGAACGTACGAGGGATTTCGGGCGTTTCTGGAGAAGATGATTGTGTGCAGTATGATGTTCGAAAGTTGCTGCAGATATGCATGCGAACGTCGGAGCCGCAGGCGCGCGTCCTAGACATATTGCGCTGCATGGATCTGAAGGCGATTTACCAGCGCAGCGAACAGGTAGTCCCTCTAGATGAGGAAGATGAGTACGACATGGGCAACCAGCAGGTTCCCAGCGCTGTTACTACATTCAAACATGCCAATCGTCGCACACTTAAGTCGCCGCTGCACCAGCGCTGTGTTGGCTATGCTCTCCTGGTAGCTAGTAGTGTGGATGGCTATCTATATCAGTTTTGTGCCCAAGGCAAGTGGTATAGCGAGAATGAGAAACCAGTGGCTAGTTATTCTTTCACCGCACCCGTGTTGCATGTCCATATAAATGACTATGTAGTGTACGCTATAACATCAGAATCTGTGGAGACACACACTTCACGCATTGGGCACAAGCTGTTCCACAATCGATTTGAGTATCCCAGTATTGGTGCACTGTTTCCGGAGGAGTCTAGCCCCGACGTCAATGCAGCTATATCCGTTATCGGATTAGCCGCCTTTATTCACGTACAGCTAGTATGCGTTAGCCGTGAGCAACTGGTGTTGATCACCAATGGCGCCCTGGAGTTAGCTAAGCGTCGCAGCACAGGCGAAATTATGCCCGTTAAGCGGAACATAGCTGCCAGACTGATCGCTGAGGCCAAGGCCAAGCACAGCAGCTTACTGCGCAGCAGTAGCAATGCAACGCAGCCACAGTGTGTGGCTAACGAGTGGACCTTGTACAATCTGGAGATACCGCGCGTTGAGCACATTGTCGAAGATCTTGAAGGCATGGCCGAGTCGTATCGGAGTGCGAGTTCAAGTAATTTCTACGATCTCATGGAGGAAGCTCATGTCATGCTGAGACTTAGCCTTACGCTTCAGGGCGAAAGACTGGCACCAGAGCGAGAGCAACAACTTAGGTTGAAATTCAAAACTAATTGCCGAAAGCTAGCAGATTTTTCAATACGGTGAGATCTTCTGTACCTTTATATTTAAAGATTTTCTCATATCCGAACATTTTTACAGCTCTAATAAGCGAGAGGTATATCTGCAGGCCACTGGTTTCTACAATATGTGTCATCTACAGCTCGTGGACATCTATAACAATTATATTACGGAATGCATGGGCACCGAGCAGCCTTTAGAAGCGTCGCAGCTTGTCGGGTTAATTTACACCGTCAAGGGTTTTCTGCTCAGCTTGGGAACTGATCGCCTCAAGTCCTCCTATTTGCATCAGACTGTGAACCCATACTTTACACCAGCTCGCGTGTTGCAACAGGGCTATAAGCTGGTGCCGCTCTCTCTCGAGTTTCTTAACATGTTTATCAAGTACGCACCTGCAGACATTCCACAAGTCATGCTCTGTTCTCCCGTGGTGGCCGACGCCATGAGTGGAGAGCTTATCAATTATTTAAAGTACTTGACTTCTTTGTAAGTATGCCGTTATTTCAACTGCAGCCATATTCCTAGAAATACGCTTAGTTTCTCTTATGCTTATCTTAAATCTGTTGTGATCCCTAAAGCACGCAATCAAGCTATGATCCAAAATTTTAATTTAAAATTGAAAACGCACCTATATGCATGTACATGTTTTAAACTCTCTATCTGAAGGGTAATTTAGTAACACTCAGATGAAAGAATTTTAGACTACATGCTATACTAGGCACCTACATGCATATGTTTTTATATGAGTTTATATAAGGATGAAGAAGTAAAGCTTTTGTTGTTAGGTAAAGTTAAGCCTAAAATGACAAATTCATTTTTAAATTTTAATACAAATAATGTACTTTGTTTCTATCTGTGTGCTACATACATATTCATATATTCGCATTAAACTAGAATAAAAATGTTGTATTATAAAAATTTCTCTTTCATAACAGAATTATTAATTTTTGTAAGATTACAATTAACTAAGAACTTTAAAATCGTAAAATATAACAACCTAACATTTTGGAATATTCTTTCAGAACACCTGATGAGAACTTGCTATTGGCTGTTACCGCTTGCCGCATGTCGAATTATTTATTAGCCCAGGAAATCATTTCCAAATCTACGCGTCGGAGTTTAGCTATTGCCTTGATCAAGCACAAGAATGTGCTTTTCGATGATAGTACAGTGCTTTATCAGCGCCGACAGCAGCCGGATGTTGGAACGCGCAAGCGCACGCGATGCACGCAACCTAAAAACAAGTCGGAAAAGACGTCTCCTGTTCCGACTATTATATCGTTTTCGGATTTTTGTGAGACGATTTTGCTGCCCAATGAGCAGCCAGGTCTGATCGAAGCAATCAGTGACGCCTTCATACACGCGCTTTGTATTGAGCACAGTCTTAGCTTGGAGGTACTGTTACAGCTGTTTCTTAATTACATTGCCTCGCACATTGGACAGAAAGGTTACCAGACCTCGCAAAAGGTGTTCGTCAATATTCTGCAGGTGTATTTCTACGATTTGTACGATGTGAGCGCGGCGCTACAGACTCACGAGGTCCGATCACACACACCACCTCAGTTGGACGACGACTATGACGAAGAATTCAACAGCAGCTCCAGGGCGGCTTCGATGCACAGTGAACGCGATGCGGACTCTTTGGCTAATTCTACGGGGGCTGAGTCAAGTTCCTGCGACGAACGCTCCATCTCAGTCTCAAATAGTGGCCGCCACCAAAGGATTGTTTACGATGAATTGCAGGAGCAGCAGTCGTCTTACAAGCGTAACTCGAATGCTTCACTATTTCAGTCACAAAATGATGCAAATGGTGATATAAGTGCTACCAATCTCAAGGGGCTTAAAATACTTTTTCGCATGTATATGGGTCGCCTGAAGGCACTCAGTGATCTCATAACGGACCTGCAATCCGCTGATATTGAGCAGCAGTCCAGCCGCGAAGATTTCCTTAACTTGCGCCTCGAATGCATTTCCTATATGGTAGGCATGGCGCCGTATTATTGTGCTAAGCCTAGTATAAGGAGCCCTGGAGATGCGTTGTCCGGTAAGCTCGTTTATGTGCCATACATACCTGATTATAAACTGAGTGGGGAAGAGTACGAGCAGCATATTACAACATATATAAGACCCATTCCATGCTTATTGGAGAGACCTCAGTATTTAAATCGACTACCGCCTTTTGAGCGCGGCGACTTCAGCTACCCAAACAAGGACCAGGGAGAATTCGAGGTGCACTTTACTGGCTGGCACAATGAGCTGTTAACACTGACTCTGAAGGTACAGAGTCTGCTGAGTTCGAGCAAAGCGGGAAAGGAGCTTATATCTGAGTTTTTGGCCTTCATTCAAAAGACTCCGCATCTAATAGGCATTGATAGTTTTTTGGTGATCGTGCTTCCGAAGAACTTGGCCATCAATTATATGATGAACTTTTGTCCTGCTTATCTTTGGCAATATGGCAAGGTAAAGTATTTTGACATCCAGCTCTATTGAACTTATATACTATACATATATTGTTTTATATGCAGTCCTGCGGTTTTACGCCCAAGCACTGGGAGTCATTACTTCGCAAAATACTCAGTAAGCAGGAGACACTACCAAATTGGAAGACCTATATAACAGGTACATACACTGTTCAATTCATTTCCCTGAGTTCTAATACCAATTTGCCTATTTGTCATTTCAGAAATACTCAACAACTTGGTTGCCGAACTTAGTTTCGAGGATCTGCTGCAATGTTTCCCTAGTGGCGTCATTGAGAATCGCACCACTGAATACTTTGCCAAAGAATTTGCTGATACCTGTGTGACTTATGAGCATGAGAAGCTGGTTTTTAAATCACAACAGACTACAGTGGGCTCCAGGGATCACCTACCGATGGATAACATTGATGAGCAGAATGTGTTTGAGTTGACGCTGCGCAAGGCGGTAGCCAAACAACGTAGCATAGCCCTGCGCTCTATGATAGAGTCGACGGGTACACAGCTTTTTGATGCAACGAGCAATCCTATGTATAATCTGTGAAGCGCCGAGTAATTAGTGGTACACATCGTTTCTAAGTAGTTGAGCGTATAAATGTATCATTTAAAAAAGTATAAAAATAACGATTTTAAATAAGCGCTAAGGTTGTTTCCTCTACTACTCATTCATATACTTGTAAATGTATGAAGTGGAGCAAACGTAATTTAAGCATAATATCCACCCACAATCACAGTTCAGTAAACATAGTTTGTAATCTTTGAAGCAGCACTATTCAAGCAAATTCCAAATTCCGTTTCGCAATGCAAAGTTTCGTTACTAGTTTGTTTCATTGCGAAAATCGACTTAAAATGGCATAGCGACATATCTCCGCCGAACTTAAAACGAAATAGCTCCGATCGGAGACGCTCGAAAACGACATAACTCCGCGCGGAGATATGTCGTTTATAGTTCGACTCGCTCGAAAAATGCGATGTTCTATGCGGAGATATGATATTCATCTACGTAATGGGCTCTAACTTTTTATAGCTAATTAATTTTACTAACCCAACAGCGCCATCTTTTGTAAAGCGGGTTATTCATGATGATTGTTGGATTTTGTAAGAAATTAATATATGTATACCAGAAAGCATACATATTTAAAAATATCGACATTATTTTCAATATTCTTACACAAATAAAAACAAGAGCAATGGAATACTAGAGTTCTGCGGGTCCGACTCTTAAAACCCTGTACCCACTTGAAAACATATGTTTTTTCAATTTTTTATTTTAATTAAAATTAATTAAATACAAATAATAAAAACATACTATGTGTAACATCTCATGAATATGAACCAATATAATACTATAATTCTTCCTCGCATACTTTTTGGCATCCCTGCGAAAGTATTTTATTTCAGCACGTAAGCACTATTTTATTATTTCACTTAAGGGTAATTACATAAAAAACTTTGAAGCAATGACTATTTCCAATACTGAACTGATGATCCGGAAATTATATTCCCACCTAAGTCAAGTAACAGGATTTTATTAGGCTTTCTAAATTGCCGTGACTTTTAAACATATATGTAAGTGCACTGCTACTATACGATCAGTATAGCTGTTTTATTGTTTTTAGGTAACCAGGCAAGACATGTGATTCCTGCTAACCAGACTCTGACGTTAATCATGTAACGATGCCAAGTACACACATACGTATGTCTGTAATTTCATTTGTGAGATAAGAGCAGAAAGTGCTTGGTATTTTTGAGATAATGACATTTCATTTGCAATAAAGTGGGCTCTCGACATGGTCACAGTATTTAATGATATGGCACCGAGTTATAGGCATATAAATAATAACCATAACGAGACGAATCGGATGGATATGTCCGTCTGTCCGTCCTTATGAGCACCGAAAACTTTTTAACCCTTAAATCTAGAACCACATAATTGATTTAGATATGTCATGGTATAATAACTATTTTGTTTATAAAGACATCGAAAGAAAATATGTTAGTTTTGAGTTATATTAAATTGATATTCTGGACATATGTATGTATGTAGGTACCAACTGATAAATACATTTTTGTATAAAAACAACATCACAATCATAATCTTGAATGTTATCAATGAATATGAATGATTGGTAAAACGCAATCTATTTAGTTGAGCGATTGGAGGGAAAATGGTTGGAATATGGTGTTCTGACTGACAGCTTTAACGTTCTACAAGTATTTGTTTTAGTAGCTAATATTTACTATATCTACTAAACCCAACAGTTATGGTAATAATACGCAGCTTTTCAATTTTAATTTTCTTGTATTTTCTGAGAACTCATCCAGCAACTAGCTGCCTGTATACGCTCAACATATGTACATAATCCATATACATATGTATGTATATATGCACTTATGTGCGTATGTACATACATATGTATATACGTATGTATATATGTATACTATAACTTTAAGAGTGCCGAATTACTTCGATAGATTTCTTCTACGCACTTCATTTCAAGCTCAGTTTTTATACTCTGTACATGTATGTATATTAGGTTTGCGGGAGCTGAAAAATGTAACAGGCAGAAGGAGGCATGGCAGACCCCACAAAGTATATATATTCTTGATCAGCGTGACGAGACGAGACGATCTAGCGCTGTCTGTCTGTTTGTCCGTCCGTATGAACACCTGGATCTCAGAGACTATAAGAGATAGAGACACCAAATTTTGCACAAAGATGCCTTATGTGTGTACTCTATACGAGTTTGTTTAATTTTTTTGATTCCCCCCCCCCCCCCCCCCCCACTTCCCTCCTATGGGGGTTTTCCCGATTTTCCATTCGTATAATCGCCTATATCTCAGAGACTATAAGACCTAGGAACACCAAATTTTAGTCCAAGATGCCTTGTGTGAATACGCAAAAATATTTTGGAATTTCCCTCCCTCTCCACCGAAAATTGCGATTTTCTCTTACTCTTGTAATTCTTGGAATTTCGAACTAAAATTTTGCAAATACCCCCAGTTAGTTTTTATGTGCCCGTACGCTAAGTTTTACCATGATAGACCGATTTAAAAAGAAGTTATAGCCACAAATATATTTGGTGCTGCAGCGCTGCTCAAGCGCTGCCTGCGGCTGTTGCTCCTCATTTGCGCTTGAGCAGCGCTGCCTGCGGCTGTTGTTGATGTTGCTGCTAACATGCTTACGCAGGCACGAATAGATGCGCATAGGCATACATACATACACTCACACAGACGCAATTGCTAAGTAAATGTGCAATTATACACCATTTACTTGAGTTCGAATACCGAGAAAGGTAAAATGGATCAACATTTTTATAGCCTGTACCCAAAGGGTGAAAGGCTATACTAGTTTTGTGCGCATGTATGTAACACACAGAAGGAGGCGTGGCAGACCCCACAAAGTATATATATTCTTGATCAGGATGAGAAGCCGAGTCGATATAGCCTTGTCCGTCCGTCCGTCTGTCCGTCTGTCTGTCCGTCTGTCCGTATGAACGCAAGGATCTCAGAAAGTATAAGAGCTAGAATAACCAAACTTGGTTTCCATATTCTCCTAAGACCGAGAAAGTACAAGTTTGAGTTTTTTTTCGATGCACCCCCCCACTCCCCCGCAATTCGTGTTTTTTCTTATAACTTCCGTAATTCTCGGAATTTTGAAATCAATTTTGGTAGGTACAGTTAGTACTAATGTGTCCGTGTGCCAAATTTCATCATGATAGGTCAATTCTGAAGAAAGTTATAGCCATAAGTAAAATCGCTGCTCATGCGCTGCCTCTGTCGGCAGCGCTGCCCGCAGCTGTTGTTGTTGTTGCTGCTTTGGTTCAACTTTGTGCTGCATACATACACGCATATAAACACGCATAGGTACGTGATGTAAATGTATGCTGTTTAAACTAAACATAAACATATATTCTAATTTAATTTAATTAATTAATTCATTAATTTTGTTTAATAATTTAATTTTTTTTTTTAATTTTTTTTTTTAATTTTTCTTTTTTGTGGAGAGTACAGGCTATTTTACTGTCGGGCTTGCTCGACTGTAGCGTTCTATCTTGTTTTTTCTTAATTTTCTTAATTTTTTTTTATTTTCTATAATTATTGTAAACATATGTACAGAGTATTTCAAAGTCGGGACACCCGACTTTAGCTTTTTTACTTGTTTAAGCTCACAACGCATGCTTGGAAAACCCTGTTATAAGCCAGATAGTGGCGGGATAAGAGTTGCTCTCTTTATAATCCATACGTATCTCTAAATGCACAGTACACTTAAAAGCGGACGGCGTCTGTCTTGTTTTTATGGTCGCTCAATAAAGACTTGTGTTATTATTAAAATAGTTTGATAAGCGAGAGAGAGAGAGAGAGAGAGAGAGAGAGAGAATAAGACACGACTGACTCGAAGAAGAGAAAAATGAACAAGTAGTTTTGGAGCGGTGTGCCGAAGCTCGTATGCTCTAAAAAAAAGCTTTTCGCAGCGTTATATTCCTTGGCAAAAGTGTTTTTCTCGCACAAAGAAACACAAGACGTACTAATTTTATATTATAATTAATATAAAATATTCTAATTTTTTACATACAAATGCTTACAATGCTCATGAAAAAACAGTAACAAAAACAAAAATTTTACCAGTTTAGACTGTTCATCTTTACTCCTTACTTTGTTAATACTCACATAGTTGAAAACAGTCGGTTTTTAAAAAGCAACAGCTAAGTCTTCCTGAAATCGATATTAATAAATATGTGGGTGTATAGGAATCCTTTTTTTAAAGACATAATTATAAATAATGGCAGAATAATGTCTTCACATTACTATTTATTTCGGAATTACTTTTTGTACAAATGCCAATCCAAAAGGACTTTTGTGAGTTGCACCAAAGTGCTCTTAAATGAAACGATAACACATTTAAAGTCGAACCGGTCCGAGACTTAAACACCCTGTACTCGCCTCTCTCTCTTGGTTACAGTTCGTCAAACCTATATAATGCAAGGCACCAATTTTGACATATTTTTAGGTTATGATGAGGCACTAAAAATATAATATAACAAATTTATATTGGTAATAGTTGCAAATAAAGAAACGAAATAAAGAAACATGCATGGAAAGATAGAGTTGGCATGGGCCCAACACCTCAATACTGTCTACCCAATTCCAAAGAAGAATTAAAACGTTTTTAAATTGTTTAATAAAATAAAATTATTACATTGTTTTATACCTCATATGTTTACGTTATGGGTCCTTAGCATCAATTGCTATCGGGATTGCGCCTATGCACGGAAAAAATAAACAAACTCGATATGCCTAGGACATACGAAGGTTTTGATATCGTGCCTCTTGTTCTTCCTGAGATTTGTGTGTTCATCCAGGAGACGGATCATTCTGATCAAGATATTTATACTTTGGTGAGTCCGTCAACTTGTGTACCCTTTACTTATTACGTATAGGGTATACAAATTGTTTAGTACAAATTATAGCCATATGACATGTTGTAGCGAATTTGATTTTAAAAACTGTTAAATACCAATTATCGGTTCAATGACCTGCGAACTTGTCTGTTTCAATTCTTCTCGTCTCGTTGATGACGTAGAGTATGCAACACGGGGTCTGGCATGCCTCTTTCTGACAAGAATAGTATATTTGGTGTTCAGACTTTTTGATATACCCTTTCAATCGGCGTGTCAGCGTAAAAAAGCAATGCATGGAAGCTAAGCCCGACGTGATCTCAACCGATTTTTGTGTGCGCCCGAAATACCGACACATTAGTCAGATAGTTGTGTTGCTAGCGATAACACGTTTCCAGAGCAGCAGCAGAGAAACGCACTTATAAATAAACTCATAAGAATAGGTATGTATGTATACATATGTAGTATTTGTATGTGCGAAGTGTTTGCGTCTGTGCACACGTAGAGTTCTCCCGCGTGGGCGCAACTGAACGCACGCATTTTGTATATGGGTATAATTACATACTATATACTATATACATATGTACATACATACATCCATTTTCAATAGAGAACATCAACACGTGAGGCACACATTGACTGCTGATCCCGGCTATTGGATGCGATGGATAGCAAAGATTGTAATGGCGACGGTAGTTCAGCCTTTGATGTTCACGCGACCGAGAGCATGAGGGCTAAGACGACTACCAGCAATGACGACAACTCGCTCGACGCTATACTTGTTCGAATTGGCCAATTCGGACGATTTCAGATAATCAACTATGTGTTACTTTGTGTGCCGATGATTTTCAATGCGTTTTTTTCAATCTCATATGTCTTCACGGCTAGCACTGTGGTGCATAGGTGTGTGAACGGGCAGTGAAAAGCACGACAGTGAGCTCAAGTACAATATTTCGCTACAGATGCAACATTACACAGTGTGACAGCCCCAGCAGTGTGTATAATGAACCGTGGGTTGATTTTACCATTCCCCACAAGAAGTCAGAATTAGACGGCTGTAGTCGCTACGTTGCTCGTCAACCGGACCCTGACCAATGCCAAGCCAGCATATTTTATTCCAGCCCTTCAAGTGACTGTTGTGTGGCTGAATATTTTGGCAATGATACAGAGCGGTGCGGTAAGGATTTCAAGTTCAGGGATGAGGAGCACACCATAGCAAATGAGGTGGGTACTGCAACAACCATATGCACATACTAATTATATGTACATATCTAAATTCAAGTATAGGGTGTTTTCTTAAATGTGGTACCATTACTGTCTCACAAAGAGCTTATTGCATATTTACATACCGAAATAATTGTAATTGCAATTAATTCTGCGAAGACTTGTGCTTGTCAATTTATATTTATCCACAATCAGAGAGTAATTAAAAATGTTAACAAGGAGCTTAGCATATCTTAGGGCAACATATTCATCCTACTGAGTCTGCTGTCAATTTTTCTTTATATAACAATTTTAAGTTCTATACCTTTTAAAAGAAAACACTCTATATAAATATTTATAATTGATTTTTCACCCTTTTCTGTTTTTAATAATACTTGTATGTGTGTAATTTCACAGTTCGGCTTCTTCTGTGCTGAGGAATGGAAATTATCTATGGTGGGAACAATAAATAACATTGGACAATTTGTAGGAATACCTTTGGGTGGATTTTTTGCGGATCGGTATGTACTACTTATATATAAAGGTTAGTCATTTTTTAGTGAACATCCTCAGAAAAATACGAATGCGAGTTTACGGATATATTTGGAAATACTCATATTTTCAGTAGTTTCTGATAATTCCACTTTTCACCTATTGCTGTTTTCATATATAGATGGACAGATAGATAGATAGACAGGCGGATATGTCTGTACCTATAACATAGGGTCTGCCACATGTCCCCCTGCCCGTTGCATACATTTTGCGTTAAGACTTTATAGACTTGGCATGGGCAAGGATAACATCTAAGGCCTTAACTGAGCTACAAAATGTTTGTCTACTCAACGAATTTAAATTGGTTGGTTCCTGAAAACGTATGCCATTAATAAGTAAATAGTAAATATACAAGTATGTACGCGTTATATGTGCATACGGGGATGATTTAGTATTTGAAAACTATACAGAAACCCCACAACAAACATCTGAAAATATCGATGGATTTTAATGAAAACCCTTAATTTCAAAGTAAGACCCGAAATGATTACTTAGAACTGTAATGTTATCGGAAAGCTAACAATTTGTCCTAATTACCCAAGATAATTATACCCTATTTTCATATATTAGGTTTGAGCAAAGTAAAAAATATAACAGGCAGAAGGAGGCGTACTAGAGGCGTGCTAGAGTACTCACTTACAGGCACATATAGACACAATTCCGATGTAAACTCCCAATCATGCCCCCTTTCCGTGACTCTGAATCCTAATAAAGGTATAATCGATCGAAATTATTATTTTGTTATTACTATTTCGTTCATTTATTTCCAATTTTATTAATTTTTTAAACATCTATAATTAGTCTACACATAGGTACAGAGTATTTCGAAGTCGGGGCACTCGACTTTACCTTTTCCCCTTTATCGATGGGAGTGGGTTCTATGTATTTAAAAGTTTGGCTCACTCGACTGTAGCAATCCATTCTTGTTTTTAGCTATGGACGGCGTACGATGCTTGCAGTTTCCGGTGTGCTGAGTGCCATCATGGGTATAATTCGATCCTTTTCCACGAACTATTACATGTTCATCAGCTTTGAATTTCTGGACATGGCTGTGGGCAGTACGCTCTTCCCCACAGCCTTCCTATTGGCCATCGAACTGGTCGGACCGAAGCGTCGTGTAGCTGCTGCCACCATCATCACCATCTTCTATTCTCTTGGTGAAGCCCTTCTTGGCTTCCTGGCCTCAATAATCCTTCAATGGCGTAACTTGCTGCGGGTGCTCTATGCACCCGCTCTTCTTCAGTTGTTTCTCCTTTGGATATTGCCTGAAAGCGTGCGTTGGTTGCTAAGCCAAGGAGAAGAAGAGCCCGCGGCGAAAATACTGCGCCGTGCAGCAAAAATCAATAGGAAAGAATTACCTGAAGCGGACCTTGATGAGCTAATGGCGAACAATCGGGAGAAACTTAAACAGGCCAACGAAAGCCAGTATCCGATTGGAAAAGCCGTGAAGTTGTTCTCGGGGCGTATCGCCAATTGCTGCTTCTGCTGGTTCACTCACACCCTCATTGCCCTCGGTTTGAGCCTTAATTCGGTGAATTTAGCAGGCGGAAGCAAATATAATAATTTTATGCTCAATGGCATTGTGCAAATACCTGGACTCTTATTGCCTTTGGTTATTATGGATCGCATTGGGCGAAGGTATTCGCTTTGTGCCTCCATGTTGGTGTGCGCTGTCTGCATGGCCATGTCGACGGCTTTCGGAGCAGGTGAGTTTCATCTAAAGGAAGAACCGACTACTTCTAATTGCTCTTTTATACCCACAGACAACTATGCTGGTGCGCTGACGCTATTTCTCATTGGAAAAATGGCTATCACCTGCAGTTTTCAGATCTTATACTTTTTTACTTCGGAAATCTATCCGACCAATGTGCGCAACAGCTTGCTTTCCCTTTGCTCAATGGTGGGTCGGATAGGATCTATGCTGGCGCCGCAGACACCTTTGCTAGTAAGCCATAAATAATCCGACCTCCGAGCTATGTATGTTTAAGTCTTCTCCAATTGTAGGCCAAGTATTATGTTTACGCGCCCCAAATACTCTTTGCTACCTTTGCGTTGGTCAGTGGTTGCTTGACGTTATATTTTCCAGAGACTGCGGATAAGGCACTGCCTACTACAATGGAGGAGGCGCGCGATTTAGCTGACAAGAAAAGGCGGAAAAGCGAATCTTCTCAGCTGACGGGGTCAGGATAATGATGAAAATAGCATTGGCTAAAGACAAGAGTATAAAACAAGATGCCAAAGATAGCTTAAACAATTTATACAATTTTGAAAGTATGATTTTCAAAAATTACGCTTATATTACAAATTAAGAGCTTTGTCTGCCAATAAATCTGGTTCTATTAAATCCTGCCAGGAAATACATAAGAAGCACGTTTCTAACCTTCGGTTGCACAAAATGTTATAAATTTTTATTCACCTATATAAAGAATTCATAAATTCATAATTAAATAATTTTTATATGAAATCACAAATATTTATGATATGTATGTATAAAATTTAATTATCTTCTACAAAAATTATGGAAAACAAGTAAAAAAGCTAAAGTTGGGTATCCCGACTTTGAAATACTCTGTACATATGTTTAGAATAAATATAGAAATTAAAAAAAGAGAATAAAAAAAATTTTTTTTGATTGATTTTACCTCTTTTGGTATTCGAACTCACGTAAAGGGTGTATAAATGCTGTTTATATTTTAAGCTCGTATATTCGTGCCTATGTAAGCATGTTCGCATACGGACTAAAATTTTGTGTTCCTAGGTCTTATAGTCTCCGTGATATAGGCGATTATACGAATGGAAAATCGGGGAAACCCCCATAGGGGGGAAGTGGGGGGAACACATAATGCATCTTTGTGCAAAGTTTGGTGTCTCTACCTTTTATAGTCTCTGAGATCCAGGTGCTCATACGGACAGACGGACAGACAGACAGACAGACAGACAGGGCTAGATCGACTCGTCTCGTCATGCTGATTAAGAATATATATACTTTGTGGGGTCTGCCACGCCTCCTTCTGCCTGTTACATTTTCAGCTCCCGCAAATCTAATATACTCTTGTACATTTTATGTACAGAGTATAATAACTATTTGATAAATTGCTTATATTTTTATTACAACTAATAAACTTTATCAAACAATGTTTAATTTTAAATTTTTTCGCACTTGCGATCATCAGCATAGAGATAATGACAATAAATGATATTTTTCTGAATCAACAATTTTACCGTTAATTGATATTGGTTTGCTCTTCTGCATTTATCTGAAGGTATGCTGTTGTTGTAGCTAGCTTTTTGCCTAAAAAGCGCAGTTGCACAATAACTCTTAGAATCGTAAATGGAAAAGATAAAATGCTCTTAAAATATATGAAGCTGACGAAAACCTGAACTTGAACTTTGTAGGTCTATATTTCGCCATTGCAAATAAAGCTTTGAACTCTTTAATTTAATAAAATTTTAATATTTGTCTTTAATATAACAAGCAAACAACAAATGTATTGAATAATTTGTATTTAATTTAATTAAATAATTTAATTAATATATTTATACCCTGTACCCAAAGGGTAAAAGGGTATACTTATTAGTTTTGTGCGAGCGTATATGGAACACACAGAAGGAGGTGTGGCAGACCCCACAAAGTATATATATTCTTGATCAGGATGACAAGCCGATATAACCATGTCCCACTGTCCGTCTGTCTGTCCGTCTGTCTGTTCGTCTGTCTGTCCGTGTGTCTGTATGAACGCAAGAATCTCAGAAAGTATAAGAGCTAGAATAACCAAACTTGGTATCTAGATTCTCCTGAGCCCGAGAAAGGACGAGTTTGGTCATTTTTTCTGATCCACACCTCCCCCCCACTCCCACCTATTCACGATTATCTACAACTCCCGTAATTCTTGGAATTTTGAAAAATGGAGTCAAAATGAGTCACATCCAGTTAGTGAATTTATATCCGTATACCAAGTTTTATTATGATTGGTTGATTAGAAAGAAAGTTATAGCCATATAAGCAGGCCCAAGATCTTTTTATACCCTGTACCCGTAGGGTAAACAGGCATGTCCGTCCGTCTGTCCGTCTGTCCGTCCGTCTGTCCGTCCGTCTGGATGAACGCGAGGATCTCAGAAACTATAAAAGCTAGAATAACCAAAGTTAGCATCCAGATTCTCCTAGGTCCGAGTAAGGACGAGTTTATTTTTTTTTTTTAATTTTCCCCCCCTTCCCCCGCTACAGAATTTCGTCAATAGTGTCCACATTTCAAATGCTACCTAAACCAAACTTTGCACACATAATTTATATATAATTGTCTACTGTTGTTCAAAATTTCAATCCGGTCAATTCTAAGAAAAGTTATTAGCGAAACATATTCTCGCCAGTACAACCCCCACAAACTGCAGCAACAAGTTCGCTCTTCTTCTTCCTCTTTTTGTTGCTGCTATGGGCGCATATAACTCAGTGACGGAAGTTTACCTGGGTACAGGGTATTACACTGTCGGGCTTGCTCGACTGTAGCGTTCTCTCTTGTTGTAGCTGTATTTGTTGCTGCTTTGACAAAATTATGTAATGCACACATACATACATATGTACAAGTGCACAAACACGCATAGACACGATTCTGATGTATGGAATATTTTATAATTAATTTAATTAATAAACTTTTTGTAGTACACTTTATTTTTTTGTGGGGGGGGGGGTTGGGGGGGTGTGTTGCACAGGGTATTTAAGAGTTGAGCCTGCTCGACTCTAGCATTCCATTCTTGTTTTCTTTAATTAATTACTTTTCTTTTTCATTTTTTTCTTTTTGGTGGGATGTACACCGTTTTTTACACAGTTTTTTCTGGAACCAATCTACCGTGTAAAAACAGAATTTGGTGTATTACCAAAACAAAAATGTTAGCTAAATGTTTACTTTTTCTTTCCTTAAAAATAATGAATTGGTTATACTTGGCCGGACACTGACGGTCGGCCAATTTTTGTCTGCCCAAGGGGAGTGTCCTTTATACACCGATCGAATGTGTGTCCGGATAAAAGAGTTGTCCATTTAGGGACTTTTCGCTGTATTTAATATTAATAGCGTCCTCTTTTATTAATCCAACCTGATTTTCGAGGCTGTTGGCTTTTGCGTAACTTTTAATTTTATATTTCCGTAAGGGGTTTAATAAAATGATTGATATCTTTGTAATTATATAAAGTTATTCTTGTTATAACCAGTTTCTTTCGAAAATATATGTTGAGGTTCTTCATGCCATCCAATTGGACCCGGCCTTTAATTTATAAAATACAGCAATTATATATTAATATCGTTAATGTTTAAATTAACTCATAATGCTAATTGGGATAAGGTCTGTTTGTTTTTAAGTCGTTCTATGTTTGTAGTTTTTTAAGCTGATTATACTCTGTACATGATTGTACAAGAATATATTAGGTTTCCGGGAGATGAAAAATGTAAATGGATCTCAGAGACTATAAGAGCTAGAGACACCAAACTTTGCACAAAGATGCCTTAAAATACGCTGTGCAAGTTTGTTTTATTTCCCCCCACTTCCCCCCTATGGGGGTTTTCCCAATTTTCCGTTCGTATAATTTCCTATATCTTGGAGATTATGGGACACCTACTAGGGACACCAAATTTTATTCCAAGATGAATACGCAGAAAATGTATATTTTGGAATTTCCCTCCCTCCCCACTTCCACCCACTTTTACCCTTTCGATAAATAAAACAAGAAAGGAATGCTAAAGTCGAGCAGGCTCAACTCTTAAATACCCTGTACCACCCCACAAAAAAGTGATTAAATTAATTAATTAATTTAATTAAATTAATTAACAAAACTAATATACCCTTGTATCCTTTAGGTACAGGGCATAAAAATCCTAGCTTTCTATAGTAGTATATTTTTTGGCTGCACCGATCTAATAGAAACACACAATCAGAATTTCTACATAATCGGATTGAAATCGGTGGACAATAACATTATGTATATATGTATCATGTAGAAGTTCCGGCGGGTGAATATACGACATTGAAAAGGTGTGTCTGACTCGGCTAGTGTACTTATAATATACAATACATATAGTATACATATAGCTTAGAGTAAAGTGTAAAATAACAGTCACATACCAATGGCCTCATGGGTGTTGGCAAATTTTAGTTCAAAATTCCAAGAATTACGAGAGTTATAGAAAATCGTTAATAGGGGGGAGTGGGGGGTGGATGAGAAAAAATGAACAAACTCGCCCTTTCTCGGTCACAGGAGAATCTATACACCAAGTTTGGTTATTCTAGCTCTTATACTTTCGGAGATCCTTGCGTAAATACAGGCAGACAGACAGACGGACAGACAGACGGACATGGCTATATCGACTCGGCTTGTCATGCTGATCAAGAATATATATACTTTGCGGGGTCTACCAAGCCTCCTTCTGTGTGTTCCATGTGCACTCGCACAAAACTAATATACCCTTGTACCCTTTGGGTAAAACAAACTCGTACAGCGTAAGGCATCTTTGTGCAAAAAATTGGTGTCTCTAGCTCATATAGTCTCTGAGATCCAGACGGACAGCCAGACAGGTCGACTCGTCACGCTGATCAAGAATATATATACTTTGTGGGGTCTGCAACGCCTCCTTCTGCCTGTTAAATTTTTCAGCTCACGCAAATCTTCTCTTGTACATTTCATGTTCAGAGTATAAACACATCCGACATACAGTCGTGCGACTGAATCTATGAATATCCATTATACTATTGGTTATAAATGTATTTTGTAATCCCATAATGCGGTTTTGCCATAAAAAGCATTTTAAAGTTACGACTATTTGTTCAATGCTTTATCAATGCTTGAATGCGTCAACAATTTCTGTATGTGGTCGTAAAAATAAAAGCCTGAATGAGAATAATAATAAATTTAAATTTTTATACCCTGTACCCGTAGGGTAAAAAGGGTATATTAGGTTTGTGCAAAGTATGTAACATACATATTCTTGATCAGCATGACGAGTGAAATCGATCTAGACATGTCCGTCCGTCTGCCCGTCTGTCTAGATGAACGCGGGGATCTCAGAAACTATAAAAGCTAGAATAACCAAAGTTGGCATCCAGATTCTCCTAGATCCGAGTAAGGACGAGTTTATTATTTTTTTTTAATTTTCCCTTCCTTCCCCCGCTACAGAATTTCGTCAATAGCGTCCACATTTCAAATGCTACCTAAACCAAACTTTGCACACATAATTTATATATAATTGTCTACTGTTGTTCAAAATTTCAATTCGGTCAATTCTAAGAAAGGTTATTAGCAAAACAAATTCTCGCCACAAACTGCAGCAACAAGTTCGCTCTTCTTCTTCCTCTTCTTGCTGCTGCTTTGGGCGCATATAACTCAGTGACGGAAGTTTACCTGGGTACAGGGTATTACACTGTCGGGCTTGCTCGACTGTAGCGTTCTCTCTTGTTATATGTCCGTATGCCAAGTTTCACTATGATAGACCGATTTAACAAGCTATAACAAGTTATAGCCATAAATATATTTGCGGCTGCAGCGCTGCTCAGTGTTGATGTTGCTGTTTGGTTGACTGCTAACATGTTTACACAGACACGAATACATGTGCATAGGCATTCACACACTCACATAGAGGCAATTGCTATGTATATGTGCAATTATAAACCCTTTACGTGAGTTCGAATACCGAGAGAGGTAAAATCGATCCAATTTTTTTTTTAATTTTGTTTTTTTTTTATTTTCTATAATTATTGTAAACATATGTACAGAGTATTTCAAAGTCGGGACACCCGACTTTAGCTTTTTTACTTGTTTTACGCTACTTTTATAGACACTTTTTCTATATACCTTTCATATATACCTTATGGGGTCGGAGATGCTTCCTTCTGTATGTTACATACTTTGCACAAACCTAATATACCCTTTTTACCCTACGGGTACAAGGTATAATTACTAACTGGGGGTATTTGCAAAATTTTAGTTCGAAATTCCAAGAATTACGGGTGTGGTGGAGAGGGGGGAGGGAGGGAAATTCCAAAATATACATTTTCTGCGTATGGTGTCTCTACCTCTTATAGTCTCTGAGATCCAGGTGTTCATACGGACAGACAGACAGACAGGGATAGATCGACTCGTCTCGTCATGCTGATCAAGAATATATATACTTTGTGGAGTCTGCCACGCCTCCTTCTGCCTGTTACATTTTCAGCTCCCGCAAACCTAATATACTCTTGTACATTTTATGTAAGAGTATAACAAAAAAGGAATGCTAAAGTCAAGCAGGTTCAACTCTTAAATACCCTGTAATACCCTGTAAATACTCTATAATCACTAACTGGATGTTACTACAAAATTTTAGTTTGAAATTCCAAGAATAACGGGAGTTATAGGAAACCGAATAGCGTGGTAGTGGTGGGAACGGAGGGGGGGTGCCTCGGGAAAAATGAACAAACTTGCCCTTTCTCGGGCGTAGGAGAATCTGGATACCAAGTTTGGTTATTCTAGCTCTTACACTTTCTGTGATCATTGCGTTTATACAGACCATTGGCTGACCCCACACTTTGTGGGGTGTGTACCGCATGTCTATTTTGTATGTAATTATACTCTGTGCATGAAATGTATAAGAGTTATTAGGTTTGCTCGAGCTCAAAAATGTAACAGGCAGAAGGAGGCGTGGCAGACCCCACAAAGTATATATATTCTTGATCAGCATGACAAGACGAGTCGATCTAGCCCTGTTTATCTGTCCGTATGAACACCTGGATCTCAGAGACTGTATAGTAAGAGCTTTGAATAGAGACACCAAATTTTGCACAAAGATGCCTTATGTTTGTACGCTGCGCAAATTTGTTTTTCTTTTTTGTTTCCCCCACCCCCCACTTCATCCTTATGGGGGTTTATCCGATTGGCCATTCGTATAATCGCCTATATCTTAGGCAATACTATATAAGAGCTAGGCACCAAATTTTAGTCCCAGGTGCTTTATATGAATGCACAGAAAATGTGTATTTTGAAATTTACCTCCCTCCCCCCTCTTCCCCGCAATCACTAATTTCCCAAACGTCCCCGTATTTCTTGGAATTTTTCATTGAAATTTTTTTGAAATCTCTGCAGTTAGTGATTATAAGTCCTTATACCAAGTTTTATAATGATAGGCCGATTTAACAGGAAGTTATTGCCATATATGTTAATATGACGCATAATTACTCTACACATACATATGTTCAGAGTATGTCAACTCTTTAGTAAGGTCCACAATTCTCAAGCCTTTTGGGTACAGGGTATTTAGCCGTCAGACTTGCTTGACTGTAACATTCTGTGCTGTTTATAAAGTACTTTATATTGTTTCCACACCTTGCTTTATTTTCAAATACTCTATGCAGTTTGTAAAGTGCAAAGTTTAAAACTCGCCGCAATTTATTAAAGGTTAAATAAGATACAAAATCAAATCGATATCTTGCAGTTCTCTTGCAGTGGCCTCAGATAACCAATGCGCTTCTTATCAGAAATTGTTGACATGCTGTTATTTCCGTGCATCGCTGTCTGTGATAGTGCGACGCGCGATCTTATCTGTTCCGAGGTCTATTACAGGTGTCTTAAGAGGTTCGATTCAGTTCAATATTTTTAATTGCCACGGCTGGTAGTAGAAGTAGAAATGAACGCTGAGTATGAAAGCGATTACTTTATGCGCAGCCGGTAAGTAAGATGAGGTAGACATATCAAGTTATAACCAGATGCTAACTTAGCTCCCACTAATTGATTTTTACAGGAAACCGCGTGACAAGCCACCCCTGTGGGACTCTTTTCAGGATCCGCCAGCAAAAAAGGCTACTGGCTCTGCAGCTGATTGGAAGAAACTGCAATTCTTTCTGAAGCTTTTAAAGCTGTTTACATATTTGTTGGTTTTTTCTGTGGTATTGGCCGCTAGCGTTACTTCAAAATTAGTTTACCTTTATATGGCAGGAAATACGAACGGGGCTCGAAAGGCCCATGTTTGCACAAATTATCGTAAGTTGATTTGTATTAATGAGAACATGTGGATGTTTTGATACATTTTTTGCAGTGCTCTTGGACGGTAAACTAATGGCCACGCCCCCAAAATTGGAACAGATCGCTTGGGTCTGGGCCTTAATATTTGCCTTTGCTGCGCCAGAGCTCTTCACGTTTTTGCGCGCATTACGAATATGTATGTTTAAGCGAGAGAAGCGCCCTAGTATCTTAGAAGTGGCACTGGTAAGTTATTTATAGCCTTTTACACTCCAGTTCCTTGTTCATTGACAGAGCTGATTAACTTCAGGTTACGCTTTTTGAACTGTTGCACGTCATCGGCTTGGCGCTACTCACCTTCACCGTTCTTCCCCAACTAGATATTACGCGAGGTGCTATGCTCGGCTGCTGCGTGTGCTTTGTTCCTGCCCTGCTCAGTAAGTTATTTCTTATCAGTCAAGTGGCTGACATGATTATGACATGCTCTTGAACGGGTCTACAATTGTATTCCCTGTACCTGTAACGTAAAAAGACAGAAAGAAGCATTTCCAACTCCATAAAGCTTACATATATACTATATAGTATGCTTAGTCAGCATGACGAGGGAGATCAATCAATTCGAATATCTGTCCATCCGTCTGTTTGGATGAACGAATGGATTTCGGACACGGCTGAGCGCACATTGACCGTAATTCCTAAAATGTATCATATTATACTCAGTATAAGTGCAATTTCCATCTTAAAATTTCCACTCTTAAGAATGAATTTAGAAGGAACTGTTCAATTCCTTTCAGCCGAATTGCAAGCCCTTGAGGAAGCAAGCCGGAGGAAGGAGCTGCAAATAAGGTAGACCTTATTACTAGTCACAATTTGTTCATTTCAGACATTTTAACCGGCACTCGGCTACACTGGAAGTCTGTGGACATGCTGGTTTATGGTGCCTCTATTGTTGCTCTGGTACTGCAGGGAAGCGCTTTTCTCTTGTGGCCTGCCATGTCGTCTCAGTTGGAGGTACAGCTACTGGCTATCCCGCTGTTGTTGGTATCCTTTCGCTGGTGGGAGAACTTTGCCAACACCCATGAGGCCATTGGTATGTGACTGTTATTTTACTCTTTACTCTAAGCTATATGTATACTATATGTATTGTATATTATAAGTACACTATCCGAGTCAGACACACCTTTTCAATGTCGTATATTCACCCGCCGGAACTTCTACATGATACATATATACATTATGTTCTTGTCCACCGATTTCAATCCGAATATGTAGAAATTCTGATTGTGTGTTTCTATTAGATCGGTGCAGCCAAAAAATATACTACTATAGGCTAGACTTTTTATACCCTGTACCTAAAGGGTACAAGGGTATATTGGTTTTGTGCGAGTGTACATGGAACATACAGAAGGAGGCGTGGTACACCCCACAAAGTATATATATTCTTGATCAGCATGACAAGCCGAGTCTATATAGACATGCCCGTCTGTCCTTTTTTAGATTTTTTTTGTTTGTTATTCTTTATTGAGTCAGAGCCTTTCTTTAAGCGATATTTGATGTTATTTTATTTTATAGCAGCAAAATAAATTGATCTTCAGGAGCTCCGACCTGTGATTGTCCAACATTCAGTAAGCCATGAGAAAATATTCCTTTCATAAGTCGATCCCTACTACATAATTCGAATATTTGGCCTTGGGACTTGTTAATAGTTGACGCGAAAGACGTTTTTTTTTACAGGAAATTGAAATGGGATTGACAGATCAATTGGGACCATCAGTATCCTCGGTCATTTTTTAGGTAATTTTTTCACACATTGGTTTACATTATTAGCGTTTTAGTAAGGATCTTTATTTTTTTTGCAAATATACTATAGCCTATGTTAACCGGGTGAAAGAATCCTTTAAATCAGTCTAGTACATAGTTTTGGAGCGTATTCAATCCAAATAAACAAACAAACAATCAAATCGTTCCTCTTCATAATATAAGTGTGGAAGTATAGATATAGTATAAATACAAATTAAAGTGTAGCTGTTTATGCATTTATATTTGACTGCATATAGAAAATCGCTGAAAATATGTACTAGTCCATACAGTTAAACATACTATATAGCCCTATTGCTGTCCTCCTAGCTTACATAATCCGCACCATCCATAGAAGTATAGATATAGTATAAATACAAATTGAAGTCTAGCTGTCTATGCATTTATATTTGACTGCATATAGAAAATCGCTGAAAATATGTACTAGTCCATACAGTTAAACATACTATTTATCCCTATTGCTGTCCTCCTAGCTTACATAATCCGCACCATCCGCTGCTCGAGATCACGTTATCACACGTATATCTACCTGGCGCCTCTAAAGGTTGTGGTTTTTGCGTTAATGGCCTTTCTGCTGCATGGACAGCGCTTCGAGGAGTATTTTAGTTTATTTATAGAGGCATGGCGGCCGCACCCCATTCCCCTAATGGTGAGTAGGAGGCGCTGCTATTAATAATGCCTGAGCTCATCAAGCCACCACGAATGTGCCATTTTTGTGCTTCCAGGTCTCTGATGCGATGCAGGTATCAACATTGAGTGCCGGTTCATTAACTCGGGTTCCATCAACGCTGCAATCAAGTTCGTTTGCTGTTGTGTACTCGATGCTGCTGCAGGTAGGGGCCGCCTACTTGTGCCACATCTTTGGGAAGTTCGCATGCAAAATCAAGATTCAGGAATTCAGTTACGCTCTTCCCCTTTGCTTGGCCACACCGACTACAGTGTGCCTTGCCACGCTGTTGGCCCAAATGCGTGCCAGCAATGCCTGTGCGTTGCACGGCCTGCTGCCCGACTACTTGACAATTCAGCCACTGGCCGAAGACTATGCTGATCTGGGATCGCAAGTCCTTGACTACTGCTTATGGGTTTGGCCGCTTTGGTGGGTGGCACAATTGTGGACATGTCTCCACATTTGGCAGCCGCGCAACGATAAAAATGCACCCACAGAGAAACTATACGTGTGTCCATGGTACTGCGGCCTGCTGGTGGATCAGTGCTCCATGATGAATAGGCGGATTGTCGATTGGACTGAAGAGTATTTGGCCATAAAGGTAAGTGTGAGCCAAGTCGCAAAGCCAGCGCTTACACTTGTTGGCTTCGCTCATTATGCATGCAAAGTTCGCCGCCAAATGAATTAACAACAGAGCGCATGCTAATTTATTATTGTAATCAGCATCAGATGTTGACATTATTTACCGCACAGAGCCCGTGTGATGCTTAGATGTCATGTTGTTGATTATTCAAATGCTCTATCTCGCGGCCCCGTTCCATGGTCTGGGTTAGTGCTTGAAAGCTTTAAATCACAAAAACGAGTCAAAGGCAAGCGGTTTAGTAATTAAGTTAAATGACTCGAAAACTGCCAAGTTAAGGAAATGAGTGTGTGTTGGATTCTACTATAAATCTAATTAAAAGCTGCTCATTTCGGGAGCATTTAAGCTAAAATGAGCGGAAGCAGTACGCATGTGTTTACAACAATATTGTGCAAAGTAACTATTATCACCAAATCATTTGTAAAGTTTGCCACTGATTAGATACCTCAGTGATAATTTAAAATCGCGTTTATAAAGTTACAAAAAAACCGTCTTGACAGATAGACAAAACGAGCCGTTAAACCATTCATAATTAGTTGATGCGAAAATTATAAAATAATTCTAAAATACCACGTCCTAATACTGGAAAATAAATAGTCTTGTTTAAGAGAGGGTGAAGAAGACCCAAACGCACTCCATGCAGTGCAGACGATGCTGGGAAGTATTTAGGGCCTCCCACCAATACTGATGCTTTAGATCCTTAAACAGTGATAGTGGGGCAATGGTATGGTTTAAAGCCACAGAGAAATTCACATACCTTAAACTGATGGAAAATACTCAACGGCTGATAGTCGTTGTTATGTGTCACAGGGCGCTGATAACCATTCCAAACAAAGCCCTGGAGATTCTGCTCGAACCCACTACCCTGGATTATGCACTTCTACTCGCCAAAAATGCTGCGGAAGGACTTTGCGCAACATTAAGCTTCACCCTACAAGACTACAGACACATCTCGGTCTGCAGGGAGCTAAGCGGTAGCGCGGTCTACACTGCTCCACTGCCGCATAGGACTGGACCAACGCTCAACTAATATAATCAAGGACGGCTCAGAGAAGTAAGAGGATGTTTCGCTTTTCTAAATGATTAAATTGTTTGTCCAAAATATACATACATTTACCTTATTCCATGATGGACACTGTACATCAACTACCAATGAAATCTTGCCTATGCCAAAGAAGCTATAGCTGCGGATCATTCATCGCAGGCGCTGTCAATGAAATTGGTGCTTAAAAGGATAAAGGAAAGTATTCCTACTACACCAAATTTACTGATAATGCTATGAGGCGTTGGCATTGTTTTTTGATTTGGAATTGTCAAAGGGGAAAAAATATCTATTGTCTTCCTGGGTAAACAAAATTGGATCGGCTAAAAAAGAGGCAGTACCTCAATCAACAAAAGCCAATATGAATATGGGTAGATGAGACTTCATGACATTATGGATCACACTGTGTGAGGTCTAGTTGACCCGAAGATGTGGATGACGCATTCGCAGAAAGTCTTATTAGTAGCTGGGGCTGTGATGGATTCTCTAGTACCAACAACCAGGCAATACCCACGTAGGATAAAATATTTAGAGAATCAAACACGTTCATGGCTTCGCTTGTCCCCTGCGATAGAAAAAGGGTCACTAAGATTAATGTTGTTTGAAATCAAGAATGTTGCTTAAAAGCAAGAATGGAACGCTACAGTCGATTAAGCCTGACTGAAAAATCCCCTATACCTAAGCCAACTTCCAGCGCCGAGTTATGTATATACCAGGGTTCGTAAGACGAGCTCACTGCTCGTTGCTGCACACACATGCAGCGCTGCCTTGAGCAGTATCGTGCAGGCCGGCAGAGACGGTGAGCAGCTTTGAGCAAGCAGGCGGCGGCCGAGCGCTCGATCGTGCTAGGCAGGCATATGTATGTATGTGTGATGTGTGAAATTTGTATGATGGCAGGCTTGTGTGTATATATTTCAAGCAGAATGTGCGCGACCCGTTTCAGCCCTTATAGCTACACTCAGTTGTTTTGCGTACGTTTGCACAGTGGTACCTGATACTATTTCTTAAAAATCCGTGGCGTTGCAACTTGTAGTAATTCGAAGGGGTTTTACTACCTATTTATACCCATACCAATAAAACCTACAGTCAATTCGTACAGTTCTTTAGAATAGTATAAAATTAGAATAGTGTAAAATATATTGTAAATAAACTACAAATGATCTACTTTTATTTATGTCTTATAGCCAAAATATTAAAATACGTTTAATTAAGAATTATAGTATCAGGTACCACTATGCAAACGGACGCAAAACAACTGAAAATACACATTTTCTGCGTATCCACATAAGGCATCTGGGACTACTTGTAAAATTTGGTGTCCCTAGCTTTAATAGTGTGCGAGATATGGGCGATTATACGAATGGAAAATCGGTAAAATCAAAAAAATAAAAAAACTTGCCCAGAGTACACACAAAGGGCATCTTTGTGCAAAGTTTCGTGTCTCTACCTCTTATAGTCTCTGAGATCCAGGTGTTCATACGGACAGACAGACAGACTGACAGACGGACAGACTGACAGACCGACAGGGCTAAATCGATTCGTCTCGTCATGCTGATCAAGAATATATATACTTTGTTTCCCCCCTCGTACGCCCTTGTAAACTCGAATAGACTAGGGGCTAGGAGCGTCCACATGCCAAGTGTAGTGTTCTCTTTTGTTAAAAAAAAAAAAAAACAAATTAAAATTGCGACAGTAGTTCCGAGAAATGTTCCTTATGCATATATAGTGGTTCTGAGCTCTGCCGTTGGGGTCTCCAGCTTAAATTATGTGGAGATTTCTCACCATACCGGATTACCTGAAATAAAAAATGCACGAGTTTTATTTAATTTCAAAGCGTCAAAAGTGTTGCAAATATTCTACGGACAATAATGTCGCCTAATTTGTGTGCGGCAATGCATAGTAGCTATGTTTTTTCCCATTTTTCTGCCACTCATCATTTTCGGTCCGTTGAACATTTTGGGGTAATTTTATCCTTTGCTCTCGTAACTTGGTTGCACAAATGAATTATTCTGAGCCAGCAAAAAATGTTTACTTTAAAGCTTTTGCTGCATTAAATCATAGACTATGTATGTATGTACCTATATGGTACCCAAAAATCGCAGACTCTCAACGCCCGATGTCCTTCTACTGCAAAAATAAAATTATTTATTTTATTGGTGCCATGATTTATGTACATTTGCAGAGCGACTTGTCGGCACCCAGAGATCCTGCTCTAACCTCTAACATTAATGCTAGCAATGACATACAGGAGGAGGACAAAATACCGCAACTGATTGTTTGCGCAACTATGTGGCACGAAACGCAGGAGGAGATGATGGAATTTCTAAAATCAATTGTACGCTTGGATGAGGATCAATGCGCTCGCCGGATGGCAAAGAAGCATCTGAATGGTGGCAAAGCGGATGATGAATACTATGAATTGGAAAGTATGTAAATATGTCACAGACTGGTGCATTGGAGTAATGGGTTTTACAGATGCCAATGCGTTGAATTTTTGGCAAAGTATTTAGAATTTTGCATAAACGACGACTGCAGTCCAATGGTTTGGTCGTCTGCAGCTGACTACTCTGCTAAGACTTTAGCTTGTGGGTTAAGAATGGCATTGCATTTACAAGTATATGCATGCAAAATATATTTCTGTCCTCCATATAAATTTCACTAAAGCTTTCAAATTACGAAGTTATAGGACTGTCAATGACTATTGCTGCTTTTGACTGGAATTCGAAGGAGGACTTGCACGCAAAGGACATAGGGAATAAGCAAATAGTTTAGATTGTATTTGGCTTCATAATGGGGTCTTCTTGGTTACTTTCGTAAAGAATACATTTTCTCAATACGCAATAAGAGCTAAAAATCTACTCTAAGTAGGAGTATTTAACAAACACTCGAAATGTTTTAATTCATTATCTGCGATACATAACGAAGCCTAACAATTTTAACTATTTTGTCGCACAGCTAATATTTTCTTTGATGATGCCTTTGTTCTGGATGAACGCTATTGTGAGCAGCCACGGAATCCGCCACTCAATGAATACGTGAAAACTTTGGCGCGTAGCATAGACAAGTCTTTGTTCGAGGTCTATGGCGTAAATATTAGAATCAAGCCACCATTGAAAATTGAAACGCCTTATGGAGGTCGCTTGGTGTGGACGCTACCCGGTCGGACAAAGATGGTGGCCCACCTCAAAAACAAGGATATGATACGCCACAAGAAACGTTGGTCGCAAGTAATGTACATGTACTACTTGCTTGGCTTTCGAATTATGGAAACGGACCATCTATCGCCGGCTCGAAAAGCAGTTATCGCAGAGAATACTTTTCTCTTAGCTCTGGATGGAGATATTGACTTTCAGCCGCGGGCGGTGCAACTATTGATCGATCGCATGAAGGCCATCGATGAGTTAGGCGCAGCCTGCGGGCGCATTCATCCAGTTGGCCGGGGACCCATGGTATGGTACCAGAGGTTTGAATATGCAATTGGCCATTGGTTACAAAAGGCTACGGAGCACGTGATCGGCTGTGTTCTTTGTAGTCCTGGCTGTTTCAGCCTCTTCCGCGCAAGCGCCCTGATGGAGAACAGTGTGATGAAAAGGTACACGACTGTGAGCTCGGAACCAATGGATATGGTGCAATATGATCAGGGGGAGGATCGTTGGCTCTGTACATTGCTGCTGAAACAGGGGTCTCGTGTAGAGTACTGTGCTGCCTCGGACGCCTATACACACTCTCCGGAAATTTTTAACGAGTTCTATAATCAGCGACGTCGCTGGGTTCCCTCTACGATAGCCAATATCTTTGATATCTTGGCCGATGCAGAAACAGTGGTAAACAAGAATAACTCCATATCCACTCTTTATATAATGTACCAGGGCATGCTGATGGTCGGAACCGTTTTAGGTCCTGGTACCATATTTCTAATGATGGTGGGCGCCCTAGTAGCTGTCTTCACAATAGATATTTGGACCGCGTTTCTATGGAACTTCTTCCCAATTTTATTCTTCATACTGAGTTGTGTTTACTTTAAGCAAAAGTATCAGCTTCTTATTGCATTTGTAATCAGTTCGCTATATTGTCTAGTTATGATGGCAGTGCTCATTGGCATAATCGTTCAAATGCTGGAGGATGGGCCCTTGGCACCAGCTTCGCTGTTTTTCTTGCTCGTGGCCGCGCAAATTACTATAGCTGGTAAGTCGTTCTTTCATTTATGACTGTATCTACTCAACTTCGGTTTTATAGGCCTGATGCATCCCCAAGAGTTCCTGGCTTTGCTTTGCGGTGTCATATACTATATCACCATCCCATCAATGTACATGTTGCTGATGATTTATTCCGTCTTTAACATGAACGATGTTTCCTGGGGAACGCGAGAGGCACCAGTAATTAAGGATGATGACGAACCGTCCACTAAAGACTCTGATGATTATCTACCTGGTTGGCTTAATGACCCCTTACTCATTGACTCTGAGCTTGGTGAAATATCACTCACAGAAAAGCGGTTTTGGAAAGATTTGATCAAACAGTACCTAAAACCCCTGGTGCTCAGCAAAGAAAAGAAGCAGAGCATGGATGACGGTCTTCGAGAGCTTCGCAATATGATCGCATTTGCATTTGTGATGGTCAATGCTATTTTTGTTCTGATTGTCTTCTTGCTGCAGCTAAAAAAGGATTATCTGCACTTGAAGTGGCCAATGGATCCCACAGATTTTGTTTCCTTCGACCGCGACAACTTGCAAGTGGGCATCTATAGGCAGTACAAGGAACTTGATCCCATCGGGTTGTGCTTTGTTCTCTTCTTCGGCTTAATACTGATCATACAGTTTGTAGCCATGTTTTTTCACCGTTTCGCAACCTTATCGCAACTGCTGGCGACTACGAAGCTAGATTGGTTCCGGTCTAGTGGCCAGCTGAGCGAGGAAGATGCGGTACTGGAGTTGAATGGGAGCGCCGTGAATATAGCACGTCGCTTGCAGCGCCCCAAGCGCCTATTCGACTATGATGATGGAGACTATCAGGATTACGACGAGTTGCACTCGGAACCCGGAGACGACCAGCACCGAGAGAGCATGGGGAGACGTCAGACCATCTTCAGACTGCACGAGTCGCGCAACAAACAGCATAACGACTACAGCGATCTTGTGCGAAATTTTGAGCGACGTTTCTTCAGCGAAGACGAATTAAATATGAAGAATCTGCCACTGAGTCGCAAGTCTATTAAACTATTTCAGCAGCGACGCTCGGTAGCCAAGCAAAATGCAGCTGCCACGCCTGGAGGAACGCCTACGCCAAAGACGGGACAGCGTCCACCGCTGGTGAAAAAGGTTAGCTTTAGTCGCAACAGTATGCAAATCTACGACAATGGGGGCTATGAGCATACAGCATTCTAAATAAATAGCACACTCGTACTATATCTATACATATAATCAAGGAGAATCTAATAACTATGTATGTGTACATGACAGGCATACATATTACAAGTAGTATGTAAGCTCCTGTACAGAAATTGGAAGTGGGTTTTAATGTAATTGAAGTTTTAAAAATATATACACCAGTTTAATTAATTGCATCAAAAACAGTGCCAACAAAGGATGCCGGAAAGCATATCTTAGTGGCTGCGGCTCATTAGCATAATTGAAAGACGAGGGCGTAATTCATCAATGTCGTTGCAAGCGCAAGACGCTTTACAATTAAGTGGTCTCGCGCTACTCGCTTACCAAGTGGAAAGCGCACTATACGAGCACGAGTATGTAGGGCGGTATTACTGAAGTTTGCAGTTGTGGATATGCGAGGCGATGAAAAGTTCGCTACTCTGCATACAAAATGCAAATCAAAGTGTGATTAGCCTGGATTTAATGCAGCTTCCACTGCAATGCACAACTTTTTGCTCGTTTCACAAAGTGGGTGGATGGGCACCCAAGGTGTTGGCGTGAATGTAAAGTACCGGAATTTTACATGAGAAGTGCGAATATTGTACATAAACTTTTCGATTCTGACATCGAGCCAGTAAGTTACTGAAAAACAAGAAAGGAATGCTAAAGTCGAACAAGCTCAACTCTTAAATACCCTGTACCACCCTTGTACCCTGTGGGTACAGGTATAATAATAAAAAATTGATATTATATGACTTGATATATGTATGAGAGTCTGCTATGGGCGCATATAAATCAGCGCCGGAAGTTTTTTTGGGTACATTGGCCTGCTCTATTTTTAGTTGCAAAATATTAGAGATTTGTGTCGTTATGGCATAAATTCACGAAAAAGACTTATAATGGATTATCTTTATCTATAAGGCCAACAGATTTTGCCCCATTGTTTCCAATTATAGCAATGTAGTTCAAGTCGGTCTGCTTAACCACGTTAAACGTAGCAGCGAAACACAAGCCATCGACTTGTATATAAGTTGTAAAATATCCCACAGTCCTTAATTGGCCCTCGCCCATGCCTCGTGTCGACTGCCCTTCACTAAGTTCACACCCTTTAGATTTTTTTACTAAGCCTTCTCTTATTAGACATAAATCCCAGATAGAATAAACCATTGTTAAAAACTGCATGTATTTGATCATAAATGTTTATAAGTAAGGCCCATATAACCGGCTTAAATTAGATACAGTGCAAAATTTTTGGAGGTGTTTTCAAGTTTGTTGCAATTGTAAAACGGTGTCTTACATTCCTTTACTTGATGATCATTTTTGTCAACTGTGTACCTCGGCTGATCTCAATTTCTGGCTAAATGCCGATTTTATGTTTGACTTTAATTGCGTCCAGTTCTGTTTTAAAGGAGAATTTACACGCCTACCCTATTCAAGAATTAATGAGGACGTTCTTCCACATTTGAAGAGTAGCTGCTCCAGGACCGATTTGCACCTAAAAGAATAGTTGTTTGGCTTATTAAGTTATCGTAACCAATAAGTAGACGAAAAGTAAACAGTTTAATTTGACCGTCCAACCTTCTCAGCAGTTACTCCGTTAAATAAATTGAAATATGAGTAACATGATTTCTCAGTAGGGCTTCAAAATATATATTTTGATTCTATTGGAAATTGGGCATAGAAGAAAGCGCCTGAAAGTTTGCAACACATCGACGAAAAATTTGATTACGACTATAAGGTATCGCATATTTTTAAGCCTGATGAGAAATACAAGTGGTCTTTAATTAACTGATTTTTCGCAATGAACTGTTTCTGGCGAACATAATTCTGGCCTGTTTAGTCAGATTATTGTGTTTGGAGGCTTCTGTAATGACATCGAGCCAAGCTGCCATTGAAGCAAGGAGCGAGCTGAACGAAAAGTTTTTATTGTCAATTAATTATGGAAATTTTGTTGCACACAACCATTACCACTACTGCTGTTTTAAAAGTAATTAAATGAAAACTGCAGGATGCTGACGTATACGTACAATGCGCACTGATTATGCCGTGTCTCCTGTCATGTTGTTGACTTTTCCATGAAATTTTAAAATTTGTATGCGAATATACATGTGGATGCATGCTGATTAAATAAACAGCAACGCATTTTTCGCACTTCATTAATTGTTTGTAAAACAATTTCAACTACATACTTAGTAAAATGGAGCTGTAAATGGTTGTGGGACCAAGTTCAAATGTGCATGTGTACGTTGTTTCCCCTTCGTACAAACAAATAACATAGCATAACAGCATAATTACGGCTCGTATAAAAATACGGAGCAAGAAGATAAGCACTAGTTTGCAGTCCCAAGTTCTAATGATTCACTAGAGAAGTGGTTCGAAGTGCTCGCAGCGAAGACGACATTGGCGTTAGTGTTAAAAGTGTAAATGTGGGCCATAATCTGGTTCATACTTGTATACATACATGTACAAGTATACTACTACTATATACTTAGTACTACATGTGTTAGTGATTGATAACATTTCCAATTGAATCACAACAAAGGCAATGGGACAGCAACAGGCACAACAACAACGATGGCCGACCAACCAATTTTAATCGCAATCATACAACACATACAAGTGTATATTCATATAAAACACACATTCCATGTACGAGTATATGCATGTATTTGCGCTTTATTATCAGCAACTGGCAGAGTAGGTCGGGGATCACTTGGATCGAGCGTGAATGGCTAGCAGTCAGTAGAACTCGTTTTGTTTGACGGTACAGTTTAACGGTACGTGGACGGGGACGATTGTTACCTTCTCGTAGTACAAAAAGTAGTGAATTGAAGGCTGTGATATTTGTGGTTGTGTGAAAAATATCCTTCAGGGGATATAGTGTCACAGCTGCTAGCTGACTGCAGAAAGCGTCCATTCTATTTTCCGATAATACTCATATAAAACCAATCGTTATGCTACGTAATAGCTACAATCTGTGCAGCGCAATGCGCAGCAGGATTTCGAGTAATGCCTGGAGGGTAATGAGTTCTCATGGACCTCGGCAACCCGTGAGTGTAATTTTAGTTTTAAAATAAGTGTTTTAATCTTTCAATATATAAGAATAATATACATACTTGTATGTAAATAATACAACAGAGCCGTGAAAAATTAAAAAAACTGATTCAAACTGTGGGACATCTATCTTACTAAGAATTTGTTCTACTCGTATGACTTGAACTTCTATTTTGTCTTTAATAAACATTTCCGAAAGCAATAACATTCTTATCTCTGATTGCTCGTCGTTGACTACCTAACACAATACAGAGCATAAAGGCACACAATGGACGCTACGTCTCAGTATTAAATGTTTTATAAAGAAGTGAGACTTCCATAAAAATTGATCAAAACTATATTTTCTCCTTAAAAAGGGAATTAACTTGTGGCTGATCAGTTCGGGTACATTGTACACATTTAAGTGTACTACGAGTATATAAAGAGCGCACGGCAGAAAATAAAGTCGAGCGAACTCAAAAATTATTTATCCCCACCAAGCAGTTTAGGGGCCGAAAATTGAAAGTAGTACTTATTGTATAAGTTTGTAGCGAAGTTTTATGATTAACAAGCTGGCGACAGCTGGCCTAAAGGTTTTAGTTTTCCTAGCCGATAACGGAATTAATTGGCCATAAAAACTCTTGAGCTGTTCGGCTTATTGAATATTACAGCATTTCATAGTATGTGTGATAATTAATTGTGGACTAAATAGGTTGAGGTTTGTTGTTATGCAGCATGTTGTAAACAATAGCAGTTGTTGAGGCGCGACATGAAAAACAGGCGACCGAACCAGGCATTCCCCCGTAGAAAAAACGTGAACTGAAGGAGAAAACGGAGCGGCATCTGAACAATCCTGACAAACCGATAAAATGGCGTCACAGCAGGACAGCAGGCGCCAGTGCAACTGACAGTGACATAACAACGGACGCTACTTCCGCAGAGAGGAAGGGGCTTGCTTAATGTGGATGTGCGTGTTAAAACAAATTGAAAAGTGTAAATATTGTATTTCTAAACATGCACAAGCACTCTTGGACAAACATAAGCAACACTCTGAAACAGGCAGCAACCACACCAAGGGTGGGGCATTCTACTCAGTTGCCCTTCAAATTTCAAAGCAGCGCACCCTTCACATGCATTACAATCACACCCCTTGGGCAGGAGCTAGTTGGGTACATTTGCATATTTATGCTGGCATTGCGACCACTTCGACACGACCAATGATTTTACTAGGTCAAGGTCGGCCATATCTACCCAGTTCGCATTCTGCAGAGCGATTTTACACGTGGCAGCAGGTCGCCCCTGATGAAAAAAAGAAGAAAGCCCGACCCCTGTAGTATACCCGATTTCTGCTCTTTCATCCGCATTAAATGAACATTATTGCAATACGGATTTATTTCAAAGTGCTTCAATTTTTATGAAACTTTAGAATTTTGTTGGGCACTACCAAGTAAGGTAAAATGTTAAATTTGTCGGCTCGAACTATGCGTACAGCCAAATCTTTGTTCGCCTAGGGCCTGTACTTATCTTCTTATGTTTCATTAGAAAATTTTTTTTACATATTACAGTGATAATTAGGCTTGACAACAAAATTCTGAAATCTATTATATGGTTTTCAAAGTACTCCCTACTGGATGGAATGGACATATGGCAACGTTATTTTCAGTACTTCGAGTACTCCGAAATTCAGTAGCTTCTTTGATTTCGCTTGAATTTCTACCCGAAAGACTTTTGGAAGGGGGGGGGGGGGGCATTGTCACACCTAAAATTCTACTTTTTTGGCTCCCCCTTTGGAAAAAGCTGCGAACGACCTTGAATAAAAGTCAAGTGCTTATAAGGTTAGTGCAGTGCCATTTCTAAACGAGGGAAAATCTCCGACCCTCTAAAATATGTATATATTTATGACCAGCATTGGAACTAAGCCGATTTACCTGTGCCTGTTTGTATGATAACCCAGATCTCAGAGACTAAGACTAAGAGCTACTGCAAATCTGTACACACAGATGCCTTAATCATTGAAATGCAGCTTACCACGAAATTCGTGTGAGAATCAGCATCCACGCTAATTTGTTAGTGATCCCTGTAGTACCGCCATATTTATTGTTTACTTTATATGCTAATTTGTTAGGGTCCCTGCAGTACCACCATATTTATTATTTACTTTATATTCGCCTCCTTAACAATATAACCTTGGTCTACGAATTAATCGACAAGAGCACCCAATATTAAAGTATTCACTATGTTCTTACATATTTTCATTAGGTTTAGTATTATACGTATATTTTAAATTTTGTTACAAATCTTCTCATTTCTATTGGAGCTTTGTGATAATGATAACAGATAAAACATATACAGCACTCTCGTGGTTCGAAAATGTTTTCAGAGATCACTGATTTTTGGTCTCTTATAACCTTAGCGTGGTTATCGCCACATTTCCTTTAGCAATGTTATGTCTATATAGTATATCATATAGTATATCAGTCTGGGCAGTGGTAATCAACAACTTAATTGCTTTATAATTTGATTTTGCACCACAACACCGAACAATAGGTGTCGGAGGCCAGCACTTTCCAGCAAATGACAATGGTAGGCGACAATCTTATCAGAAAATAATTCGGTAATCTAGACATGTACTAAAATCTGTTGATAACAAAGCGGAGCAAAACAAATAACAAAATAAAGAATAATTGACCGCGGCCGTAGGGAAAGAATGAATTTTCCATAGTTGCTTATTGTATTTGATCTGCTCATTGCAATATGGAATATAAAAGATACACACACGTACTATTGTAATCACAATATGGCAAGTTGTCGGGCTGCTTGAAATATAAGTATTATTGTACTTATAAATTGCCGTCGAAATGGTTTCATTTCCCGATAATGATAAAACCTACTTGTGATAACAAATCTAAGTAGTCAGGGAAGGCTCGGGACAAAGCTCGTTTATGTTAGCCTTCAAGCGAATCAGCCTAGTTTTTTTTTGAATAAATGTTTTAAACAAGAGCCTAAGAATTGCAGGCTAAACAGGAAAATTAATGAACAAATCCCTTGGATGTTGTTGTTGTTTTGAATTGTTTTAAATATATTCCGCAATCGTCACGCGCATTAACAGGTCACTGTAACAAAACAAAAATATAAACTTTCCCCTCCCAGAGAGCAGAACTGTGTGAAGATAAGAATATTGTCACTACTAATGTAAATGTAGATCTATGGCTGATTTTGAGCTCGTTATGAAAGGTTTGCAATGAGGCACAATAGTTCCGAATATCAAAATGTTGAGAGCGTCTTGATTGATTGACGTGAAAAATAAAGACGAACCTTACACGCCAAGTTTGTAGACATTTGACGTAAGAGGAAACTTTGCAATATAGAAATATTACCCGACTGCGAAAAAGCGTGTACTGATAAGAAAACAGAGTAAACCAAAATAGGTGCTGCAACTTGGGGTACAACTATTTCGAGCATCACTTTTATAATGGTTTTACACCGGTACTCGTATCGAGTGGACTCGAAAATATTTTTAATTTAAATTGATTTATCACAATAAAAATTGACATGAGGACACATGAGTCTCAAATTCCGGGAGCTATGGAAAAATCATATACTTACTAGCGCGGGAGTGGTGGTGTATCAGGAAAAAAAAACTCAAACTTTACCTGCATAGGGGAAACTGGATACCAAGTTTGGTTATTCACATTCTTCTATTTTCTGAGGTACTTGCGTTCATACAGACGAGCGGACATACCGACGGGCTTAATAGTGATTAAGAATATATATGCTTTGTGCGGTCTGCCAGGCTTCTTTCTGCCTGTTATATTTTTCATTTTCACAATCCTAATATACTATACTAATGTTAAAACGCATCCAGTACTTTACATGAATTTTATTTTCTAACCAGCCGACAAATGTGGCCGATGTACTACTAAATTGGTAGCAGCAAATAAACCTTACCACGAAAAATTAAGAACTTAACATTACGGTTTTGGCTTCTATTGAAATTACGATTTGTGGAGATAAGCTTCGTCTGGTTCATATGCCCATAACATTTGAAACGGACTTTGAGTTTACTTATTTTTAGGTATTGCACATATTTTGAGTATACTCGTACGCAATAAAAATGCCGCTTTTTCAGATTTGATGATTATTTTAATTAGACTTGAATTAATGTTTTGGTGACTTCCTTCCTTCATCGTTTAGTTGGTTTCGCCGGAAAAACGTCTGGAGAAATCACATCCCACCTTCACCGATCGCAGTCAGCTAAAATATGCGCGTCGATTGGTCGTAAAATTGGGAAGTGCGGTCATAACGCGTGAGGATAATCATGGGTTGGCATTGGGTCGTTTGGCTTCGATTGTAGAGCAGGTAAGCTTTCAACAAATAGTTCCTAAATTCTTAAATATCATAGTTTTTGTTGTGCTTACACATATATTGCTAACATGTTTACATCCCATTTCGATTTGAATGACGACAGAAGATTATTTTTATTTTCAGGTTGCCGAGTGCCACTTGGAAGGGCGAGAAGTCATGATGGTCACTAGCGGTGCGGTTGCTTTTGGAAAACAGAAGCTGGCTCAGGAGCTGCTCATGTCCCTATCCATGCGTGAAACTTTGTCCCCTAAGGATACCAAGGAGGTGATATAAGCCGACCTCAATCTTAAATTTAAGCTAATGCTCACATTTCAAACCTCAAAGTTCGATGGCGCTACTTTGGAACCGCGTGCTGCTGCCGCCGTTGGCCAATCGGGACTCATGTCGCTGTACGATGCCATGTTTGCGCAATACGGTGTCAAGATTGCACAGGTTGGTTGCCCAACGTCATTCAGTCAGCTAATTAGAACATACGACTATATGTATGTAAGAAAAAACGAACTAAAGCTTTCGATGCTGTTTAGGTGCTAGTGACGAAACCGGATTTCTACAACGAGGAAACACGTAACAATCTCTTCTGCACGCTCTCCGAATTAATTAGTCTAAATATTGTGCCAATCATAAATACGAACGACGCCGTTTCCCCGCCCATGTTTATACGTGACGATGAAGTCCCCTCTGGAGTTGGCGGCGGCAGAAAGGTAAAGCCATCAGCACGTCTGCCCTCTTGCATGGCTATGGCGAGCGCGTGTCTTCTTAGCTTTCTCACCATTTTGTGTCGCACATTGCAGGGCATTCCGATCAAGGACAACGACAGTTTGTCCGCTATGCTGGCCGCTGAAGTGCAAGCCGATTTGCTAATACTCATGTCCGATGTCGATGGCATTTACAACAAACCGCCGTGGGAGGATGGGGCCAAGTTGATGCACACGTACACCAGCGACGACAGTCGCAGCATCCAGTTTGGTCAAAAGTCAAAGGTAAGCGTGCGAATGTATTAGTGCTCCCTACTGGAGCCACTTGGCGTGGAAAGTGGTACTCATATAAAAGTGGAAAACGCGCTATTTTCCCTTTCTCACTATCTCTTACCCTGTGCCATTTTTAATAAAATGTAGTTAAATATTTAAAATGCAGGACATATTGACGCCGCAAGGAGCTGCAACTTTGCGAAAGCAACACATTAACCCAATACTAGTTTCTTGGAAACTTGAAAGTATGAAGAGAGCTCTTGATGTGCGGCGGGGCGATGGTGAAGTGTGAAGCTTGCAAAAAAACTACACTTTTCTTGGCCTCGCTGCTACTTTTGTTTTCAAAGGGGCCCTAGTATGTTGGGGCGTATCTTAATGGTATTTACTAAAACGTTTGTTATAATAGTAGAAAAAGAACCCAAGACTACTTCCAGGAAAAAGGGTTAAGAAATGTGCGTTGCAGTTGTTCTGAATTAGGTTTACTTTTTTCTTTTGTTTAATTAATTGTGCTGACGTTTCGTCTTGCATTTATAGGTCGGCACCGGCGGAATGGACTCAAAGGTAAAGGCAGCTACTTGGGCCTTGGATCGCGGAGTCAGCGTTGTTATATGCAATGGCATGCAGGAAAAGGCCATTAAGACCATAATTGGCGGCAGAAAAGTTGGAACATTCTTTACAGAAGGCACTGAGAACACTAATACAGTGTCCGTTGAAGTGATGGCGGAGAATGGTGAGTTGGAAAGGATGAACAAACATATTTGAGCCAGGATTGCTGTCTGGTACCGACCTTATATAGAAAGGCTTGTGAAGTAGTTTATTTTCATGGTTGTATAAGCGATCGGCTTTATGGCAACTATGCAATATAGTGGTTTGATCCTCGTATAACTCTCACCTTCCAAATAGAAGGAGATTGGTGGCCGTCTGGCCACCAGTATTTAGTCCGATAAATTTTAAAGCATATCATGGCCATTAAGACGCGTTTATCACAAACTGCATATTTTATCTTATCAGGGAACGATGAAGAGAATACCTCTTCGAAGTATGTATATGTATTAAATATTATTAATGATTATGATATTGCCATTTAGCTCTATGACTAAAAGGGAGTACCATATCTCTGAGAATGTATTTAACATCCAGAAAGATGCATGATTAACTCCTCAAAGCCTGTCCGTCTGTCTGCCTATCCATCCGAGTGAACGCAATGCGAATAAGCGATGCATTTTAAGCAATACCTCGGAATATGAACTGGTTCTATGGTCCTCTGAAATACTTATCCTTACCGAAATCAGTACATAACCAAACATGCCTGCTTCTCCTCCCGCTCCTCAGCCCGCACCGGCAGTCGTCAGATGCAAGCCCTTAGTGCCGCACAACGTGCCAGCGCCGTCGACACTTTGGCTGAGTTGCTGGTAAGCCGCGAGAAGTTCATTTTGGACGCAAATGCAAAGGATTTAGCCGAGGCGCAAAAGAATGGCTTGGCGAAGCCTTTGCTCTCCCGCCTGTCGCTTAACTCGGCTAAGCTAAAAAACTTGTCAACTGGACTTAAGCAAATCGCCGAAGACAGTCATAAGGTGAGTACAATTTGTAAAAAAGTAGGGCTGGGAGTGGTGCTCAGCCTTTGTATTACTTACGCCATTGTGGTGGTTAATTAGCAGCCGAGAGTAAAACTTATTAAAAGTCAAGGCGGTAGCGTTTGTGATAGAAACTTAGACAATTGCATTTACTTTGCTGCTAAAAAGTCCCTCCATAATGAATTGTCCACTTATACTAAGTGTGTTGCTAGCCACGGCAGTTGTGAGAGACTATAGATTTGAAATTTCTTCCGCTTGCCTTGGTGAGTAAACCAAATAGCAAGCAACAGCAAGAGCAAGAGTATAAGCCAATTTATGAGCTGTTTTCCCAAAAACTACGCAACAAAGGCAAGGAGCAACTGCAGTAATATCCTCCAAGGAAGCTCAAGCCATACACGTACATTACAGTACAGAACACCGCTCACGCTCTTCTACTTATTGTTTCACATTCTTTCCAACTGCCCTTAACGACATTATGAAATCTCCGGGCAATTTTACACTTCAACAAAAATTGGCACCCACAAGAAGGCCATGGCGAGGCCGATATGAGTGGGTCTGCGTGCGACTATATATATATATATATATATATATATATATGTGTGTGTGTGTGTGTGTGAAAATGCATAAAAAACTAAGAGACAGCTTACGCATTTTGGCGCCCCCTCGCATCGACAGCGGCGCCATGGGTTTGCTGAAGCGACATTAACCCGCACGGAACTTTGATGGAATATTGCAGGACCATCCCTTGGCCCATTTATCCACTTGCCCTCACTCATGTTGGTATTCGCAAGCCAGTTTTATTGGATCTGATTGTGCGGAAACGCAAAACTTTTTCCTCCTTGGTGGCACAAACTTTTTGCCCAGCCACTCTTTAAAAATGGTGACACAAAGTGACGGCGGGGCATAAATCATGAAACAAAAATGTGTGTATGGCGAATAAATAAGCAGGAACAAAAAGATGAACAAAAAAAATCATAACGCACCTAATGTTGGCAAAATGTGGAAAAAGTACGACAGGGTCATTTGAAAAGTGGCGTATGGAAGCGGCTGCTTTCAGGACTTTTGAGGCATGAAATTTCAATTACCCAAGCTGCGTAAGCGCAACTATGTTCTGTACTTGAAATTTACATGAACAAAACTTTTGCTAAGCATTAAAATTAAATATAAACAAGTTGGTAGAACCGCCGAGAGTTGAAGGGTCCTTTAGCGAGCAACAGATAGTGTATGTACATCCACACATATTGTGGATACGAGGTAAAGAGGAAACGATAGGCGTAGTTCAGCGACTTAACGGAAAAAGTTAAAGCATACTTAAGTCCGTTTTTGCAGGCAACTCCCGACGATATAAGCATGAGCTAATTTTATTATTCTCGCCAAGAATAATTTAAAATTCGCACCCTATAAGGATGCCCATATAATCAAGTTAGGCCCATGGACAGATTAAGTTTACGTGATGTTTTCGCATGCTCTCTGAACAGAAAACTGAGGTAGCAGTCAGTCCGTTCCCATTAACTATAAATAAAGATTATGATTTATGACTCAACAAGCTAGCAGGAGTCCCATAATGTGAATAATGCGTTCCTGAGTAGGCACTTGGCTCATATCACGCCGCAAATGTCAAGTAAAAAAGTAAAATTAAATAATTTTCCAACCTAGAACAGATCTTAAATAAAGATTAAAGATTTACAAAAGAATGATTTATGTTCAAATACGGAACAAATTTCTAAAATAATTACATTCTCCCATGTAATTATGAGGAAGGCTTAATAGCCCAATTAAGATATTAATTGTAATTTTAACTATTTCTGATGCAGAATGTGGGCCGTGTTCTCCGTCGCACGCGGTTGGCAGACCAACTAGAGCTGCAGCAAGTGACTGTGCCCATTGGAGTGTTGCTCGTCATCTTTGAGTCCCGCCCGGACTCGTTGCCTCAAGTAGCTGCCCTCGCCATGGCCTCTGCCAACGGCCTGCTACTTAAGGGCGGCAAGGAAGCGGCGCACAGCAATAAGGCGTTAATGGAGCTGGTCAAGGAGGCCCTGGCCAGCGTGGGTGCCGAGCATGCCGTGTCATTGGTATGTAGGAATATATTTTTGCCAGATTAAGAGAGGGCGCGTTCGAAATAAGCCGAACCCCAAATCTTACTACAGGTATCAACGAGAGAGGAAATCAGTGATCTGCTGTCGATGGAGAACCACATCGATCTGATCATACCACGCGGCTCCTCGGAGCTTGTGCGCAACATACAGCAGCAGTCGCTACACATTCCCGTACTTGGGCATGCAGAAGGAGTGTGCCATGTCTATATCGACAAGGATGCGGACCTGGGCAAGGCCTTGCATATAACGCGCGACGCCAAATGTGATTATCCGGCAGGTGAGCTACTTAGGTTACAATGAGTCGTGGAATTATACTTGTGACACACGCTCCCTATTTACATTCGCGGATAGCTTGCAATGCGATGGAAACGCTGCTCATACACGAGGATCTAATGAGTGGGGACATTTTCACCGATGTCTGCAACATGCTGAAGCGGGAGGGCGTCAAGATATATGCTGGCCCTCGTCTGAATCAGCAACTGACATTCGGTCCGCCCGCAGCCAAGAGCCTGAAGCACGAGTACGGCGCTCTAGAGTGCTGCATCGAAATTGTGCCCAGCCTGGAGGAGGCCATTAATCATATACATACCTATGGCAGCTCTCATACGGATGTTATTGTAACGGAAAATGGTACGAAAATTGAAAATTAATATCGAGTTCGTGCAGCTGAAATTAAAAACGGTTGCAGCAGCCCCTCTTAATAACAGGACCGGGTGCTTGTGGTGGTTGGGTTAGCAGCTTAAGTAAAAGCTAATGACATTTTATTACGAGTACTCAAAATGTAGGTCCTTTTGCACATTTTATATTTAATGGTTCGTGCTTTTCGAATGATTTAGGATCGATGAAAGAAAATGTAAGCTTAAAAAAAAAAGATGATAGAGGTGGTATTGTTATATTTAAAAATGTACAAAAGATTTCGAAAGATAGTCGTTTAAAAATCAGTCTGGAAGAAAAGTATGATGAGATCAGTTTTAGTTTTCGAATTCTTAATGCCAAGAAACTTATAATTGTTCATTTTATTTTTAACCGAAATGTGGATCGTTAATAGTAGTTAGGAGAAATCCTTGCGTTCAGATAGACTTGGAAATGTATCTATTTCATACTTTCCCGAACGTAAATACTATTTAAACGGGCAAAAAAAAAAAAAAAAACAAATTAATTGCATAAGGGAATACAAAAGGTATTCGGAGTAAGTGCATTTGAAAATGATTTCGTGCCTCAAATAGCATAACATAAGTATGCACGTTAAAAATATAATGGCGAATGATTGAAGTAAGTTGGAAAATTGCATGATTTTAAAAGCACAGGCAAATCCTCCGCTAGTTTTCTCGGTGCTTGGCACGACAACCACAAATTTCAATCATTTGGGAAATCTATTTTATTCAGTGTGTTCTCATGTTTGCCATTTTCGGGTTTTTTGTTTCATTTTGTTTAGATGCCACGGCCAAGACCTTCCTAAGCTCGGTGGATAGTGCCTGCGTGTTCCACAACGCCAGTTCGCGCTTCGCCGACGGCTTCCGCTTCGGCCTTGGCGCAGAGGTGGGCATCTCGACAGCGCGGATACATGCACGTGGACCGGTGGGCGTTGAGGGTTTGCTGACTACCAAATGGATACTGCGCGGCCAGGATCATGCCGCGGCCGACTTCGCCGATGGCGGCCAGCGTACGTGGCTGCATGAGTCGCTTCCCGTGGACTAGTTTAAGTTAGAAAGTTGATGCAGTTGCAAATTATGTAGCGTAGAATGTTTTTTTATTTTTCACTCATACAAAGTTGTATGCGTTAACTAGATGTTTGCAAACTGTCAGCCCAAAAGTACTTGGAGCAGCTCTTCCTCTAGAAAATATTAGATGTGCACGTGTATGTACATACTATATGTGTATATTAAAAACTACAAATGTTCAGGAACCGCTGAAAATGAAAAGTGGAATTAGCTGTATTGCATAAGAAATAAAAAGTAACAGAAACAATTCTAGGGTCGAGTCAACCCTGTTGCTGTGATGTCAGCGAGTTCGTTGTCCTTAATGGCGTAGGAGAAAACGCAATGAATGTGTGAGTTTTCTGTATACTTATATGTGGGTCTGGTTTGTTGGTTTCTCTTTAAATATATCTCCATAGATGTTCCCTGCTGTATTGGATTTAACGGAAGACCTGTGTCTAAATCATTGTGGATATTGAAAATTAAGGCAAACACTTGTATTTTAATTGTGCTATTTTATATTTGCTAATAATTTATTTATAGAAGTAAAGGCTCTTCTTTCTTTTTCTATTCAATAAATTTATATATGGGTAGTGGGATCTTAAACAATACATTGCAGGGTACGGGAAAAATTGTGCAAAAACCCACATAATGTTTTGGTATAGAACGAAAACTTACACATATAATACACACATAGTTATACACTGTACATAAGAGTGTACTGAACCAAATAGGTTACATCATATTTGTGCATGCATGCTAAAATTCAAAAATACCTTCTTAATTGAACATTAAAGGCATATAGTATAGTTCATTGCGCAATCGCTTTCCTAGGTGTAGGAGAATATGATTTCATTGACACCGGATTGCAATTTATTTTCTTGGCTTCCTTAATGTGTATATTTTCTTTTGAAAACCTCAATCTTATAATGACATACTTTTTATCAACTTTAAGTGATCTCGTAAATCGTAGATGTAGTTGCGAGTTCACGCAATGTGTCTGCTCATTCATTATAAAATCGTACTTTTATACATACTACAAATTACAAATTTTGCGCTACACTTAATCGGCAGAACAATAGAAAAAACACATAAATCTCATAGTCAACATAATGTTAAGATGAGGCGATATGGAGGAGCTAAGTAAAGATCCGACAAATTATCGCAAATGCATCCGCACCTTTGGCAATGCACCCGCTTAGCTGCCTGTCCGTCCCCTGCGTTGCGCCCTCATATTTGTAAAATATGTGTATTTTATTTAAATTCAATGAAATCTACCCATCATGAATGTGTGCATGCATCTTGGCAGCCTGTTCCTCGCCATCTATGGACTGATGCACTCAAAACATTTTGTCACATCATTGGCACAAATGTGACGGACTGTGGGTTGGCATGTGGTGGTGTGGCATGCAGTGCGGCAAACCGCATGTACGAGTAGTATGTAGTACACTGCATTGTTCAGGTCTATTAATATACAACTTAAAAATACATATAACAACGACAGATGCCTATACAAGTCCTGCCGCAAACGTCAAAGAGCGTTTGTCAAACGCAACAGACATAATTATGCGAAAATGAAATGAAACAAGAATGAGTTCTGAATGGGCAAATCCGACTATTCTACACTCTTTGTAGAACTTTTACAGATTTTAAATTATAAATATTACTTACACATTACATCCACAGCTTATAACATATTTTAAAAGGCTTGTACTATATCTAAAATTGTTTCACATTGCGGGAAGTTTGTCGTAAATTAGATGCAATTATTTTTTATGCTTCAAGCACTTATTACTTTGAAATATTTGATAGAATATGAAATAACTTTTAGAAATACAGTTTTTGTAAAATGTTTACACAAGTCCTGGCGCAACAGACATAATTATGCGAATATGAAATGAAACAAGAATGAGTTCCACAATAAATAAGAAAACTACTACAGATTAGTAAAATCGTGGAATTTAAATTATAATATATATTTACACATTACATTCGCAGCTTATAAAATATTTTAAAAGGATTGTACTAAATAATATCTAAAACTTTTTCACATTGCGCGAAGACTCTCGGGAATTAGATGTTATTCTTTTTATGTTTCAAGCACGTGTTACTTTTTAAATATTTCATAGAATATAAAATAGGCCAGCCCTTTTCAAATATAAAATATTCAACGGCAAATGCAGTTTTTGAAAAACATGAGCATACTTAGAGTTTTGATTATAAATGAATACTGAAAACTCTCTTATAAGTAGTAGATTAAACCTCGTAATGTGTCATTTTGTAGCGGTTATATAGTTTTGTGTACATATTTGATGAGAATGGGGATGTACGTAATCTAAGTTAGAGCATAATAAAAATGACGTGATGCCGATTGCATACCGTCCCCCCATCCCAACTGTGCCACAAAGCGCATGTTACTATAGCCATCGGCCATTGTTCGCCATTATAATGATGCTGGGAAAGGGAAGATAGAACTTATTTAAATAGTCACGTCCACAACAAAACGAATCACTCTGATTGCTGTTGCTGTGGTACTTACACGTCGTGAGTGTCGTCTCCGTCGTCGTCGTCGTCGCACTTTGGTTGCATCGCTAGGATTTATTAACTTATAGTTGTCGTTTTTTGTCCGTAGTGCTCGTTAGTCGAATCTCAAAATGTGTGACGAAGAAGCATCAGCTTTAGTTGTGGACAATGGATCCGGAATGTGCAAGGCTGGATTTGCTGGTGATGATGCGCCCCGCGCTGTCTTTCCATCGATTGTAGGGCGTCCACGTCATCAGGGCGTGATGGTCGGCATGGGTCAGAAGGATTGCTATGTTGGTGACGAGGCACAGAGCAAGCGTGGTATTTTGTCCCTGAAGTATCCCATTGAACATGGTATCATTACCAATTGGGATGACATGGAAAAAGTGTGGCATCATACTTTCTACAATGAGCTGCGCGTGGCACCCGAGGAGCACCCAGTGCTCCTTACCGAGGCTCCATTGAACCCCAAAGCCAATCGCGAGAAGATGACGCAGATCATGTTTGAAACCTTTAACTCGCCAGCTATGTATGTGGCTATCCAGGCTGTGCTTTCGCTATACGCCTCTGGCCGTACCACTGGCATTGTCCTGGACTCTGGCGATGGTGTTTCACACACTGTGCCCATCTATGAGGGGTATGCCCTCCCACATGCCATTCTTCGTCTGGACTTGGCGGGTCGCGATTTGACCGACTACCTGATGAAGATCCTGACTGAACGTGGCTATAGCTTCACCACCACAGCAGAGCGTGAAATCGTGCGTGACATCAAGGAGAAGTTGTGCTACGTTGCTCTAGACTTTGAGCAGGAAATGGCCACAGCAGCGGCCTCCACCTCACTAGAGAAGTCGTATGAGCTCCCCGATGGTCAAGTAATTACTATTGGCAATGAGCGCTTCCGCACCCCCGAGGCTCTGTTCCAGCCTTCATTCCTGGGTATGGAGTCCTGCGGCATTCACGAAACTGTCTATCAGTCGATCATGAAGTGCGATGTCGACATCCGAAAGGACTTGTATGCTAACAATGTACTCTCAGGTGGCACCACCATGTATCCAGGTGAGACAAGTCGTCGGAGTGTCTTTTGAAAGAGGACTCTACTGATCATGTTTATTTCTCAGGTATTGCCGATCGCATGCAGAAGGAAATCACTGCTCTGGCACCGTCCACCATTAAGATCAAGATTATTGCGCCTCCTGAGCGAAAATACTCTGTCTGGATCGGTGGTTCCATCTTGGCATCATTGTCCACCTTCCAGCAGATGTGGATTTCGAAGCAGGAGTATGATGAGTCCGGACCTGGAATTGTGCACCGCAAGTGCTTCTAAGTGATGCAAACCATATACAGCCACTGCCCCACCACCCTAATCACCCACACAACCAGCAACAACAAGTGGCGTTTATATATAGCCAACCCCACAAATATCTAGCCTATATCTGACATTGATATATGTTTAGCTATATGCGGCTAGCTGCATCTGGGCTTTGGCAAGCACTTTTCGAACGTATCTTTAAAATTAAATATAGTTGAAGAAGTTTTAGAGGCAAGACATGAAACGGGAAAACGAGCAAGACATCAACATCTTTTATGATTTATGAATTATTGTAATTTTTTTGTAAGTTACGGAGCTGTAAAAAGACAACAGGCGAATCGGATGTACGAGTAGTATAATAAAAAATGGCGTCCAATTTGAATGTATAACAACGAAAAGGCAGCAAAAGTCTTCCATGGAGCATTCATGTCAAAAAGTTTTCTAATTAGGCTGCCAAAGAAAGCGGCCATCCAGGCCTTCAATCACCCTGAGGCACACACAAGTTGTTGCGTTGTTATCAATGCGCACGTTTGTATTTCCTCCAAAGGCAATAGATTCTCACCTACACACGAGTGTGTGCTAAACAGGCTGCAGAACTTCCACACAATCATGGCCAATTCTCAGGATGTCATCGCCGTGAGGCCTTGATTTATTTCCGCTTCGTGGGGTTCATGATATCTCTCGATATGCTCATGTGTTTATCAAGGTGTCAGTGGAACAATAGAACTTAAGGTGGGCTAGTTAGATAACAAACGCCTCAAGTGTGCGATCTACTACTTAGAAATACTGGAAAATACATGGCATCCCTTCCAAGTGATTTTGTTAATTAAATATACATCGTTATCCATCCATATCAACCACTAATATCAATCATCTAGTTTTTAAATTGCATATCTGTTATATATATATTCCGTTGGTTATTAATTAAGTTACGGCGTCTTCTGCTCGTGGCAGTCGCATGATAACAGCGCTCGAAATCAGGCGAACAACTTTAAATATGTTGTTAAGGGCATTGCATTGTATCCGTCACGCGTTAGAATCGTTAGAGTTGAGTCTGTTGCGGTCAGTTTTGGGTTATGTGCCCTTCTGTTTTATTAATTTCCTCCCTGTATGTGGTATACCCCAAGCCGGAAAAACAATTTGTTAGCTTGTCAAAAGCACAGAAGAGCGCCCTGCCAATCAGGATATGTTTTGGCCGGCAAGGCGCCACACTTTAGCTTCCTGCTGTTGTCAATATTTAAGCTGCGTATATACTTGTTTGCATAATGAAAATAACAATTTCAATGTGTATCAAATACATATAACGCTATTCAGTTATTTTACCCTTCGTATAATCGTCTAACAACATAAGCTTTTGGTTTTGTAGCAAATTTTATAACCGTAGTGGTTGCCACTGGCTGGACAATGCATTCAATTAGCATAATATAAACGCCAGCAGCTAAATTGCAGCTCACTTGTGTAATAGTTACAAAATACGAGTGTGTCCAGCAAATTTTCAAATATGACAGTACAAAACAACCACAACAAACATTAGACTGAATGGCCGACAAGGCTGAAATCATATTCAATTTGATGCACAGACCGCAGTGGTAAGTAAAATTTAACAGCTCCCGGAATAATAGTCAGAACTATAAAATATGTGGCCCCATTTTAAAAGTGGGGAGGGCGTGGTTTCGGCTGTCGAGTGTAATGGCGAACAAAACATTGCTGACTGTTTTGCATTAAGTCGTTTTTAGGTATTAAATGCGCGGCATTGAAAACAAATAAAAATTCCAGCGCCTGAAATTCGCTGATAGTCGAATTTGGTTGGCACTCCCGTTACACACTGATTGATTAAGTTCCGGCCACTGAGTGGACAGACAGTAGGACTACTGGCTGGGTTGGTAAAGCATTGAACCGTATATATGCGTTGCTATTAGGTGCCATGGTTTTGCTTAGTTAGATAGGGTTGGGTAAACGGACTAACAATATCGGATTTTGTAATAGTGTTATACCCTTACTGAACATATATATATATAAGTGAAATAACAACGAATATAAATTCAAAATATAATATAAATAATATACCGTACAAGCTTGGCTGGAATCAACTACCTCAACTTTTAAAGAAAATTAGTGATGCATCGCATTTTAGGGAGAAATTAAATTTGTTCTTAAAAATTGGAAACTAATAACATAAAATATTTGAAATATAGAATAATCTATACAATTCAACTCAAAATGTTATAAAATATATTAAGTGGGTTAATCAAATTGTCTTAAAGTTGTTCAATGAAAGTTGTATGATTCCTGTGAGCAATGCATTAATTTATTAGAATTTGTTCTTGTCGCAATAGGAAATTATAAAAATAATTTAAAAACAAGATAGAACGCTACAGTCGAGCAAGCCCGACAGTAAAATAGCCTGTACTCTCCACAAAAAAGAAAAATTAAAAAAAAAAAAATTTAAAAAAAATTAAATAATTAAAAAAAGTTAATGAATTAATTAATTAAATTAAATTAGAATACATGTTTATGTTCAGTTTTAACAGCATACATTTACATCACGTACCTATACGTGTTTATATGCGTGTATGTATGCAGCACAAAGTTGAACCAAAGCAGCAACAACAGCAACAGCTGCGGGCAGCGCTGCCGACAGAGCTGCAGCGCATGAGCAGCGATTTTACTTATGGCTATAACTTTCTTCAGAATTGACCTATCATGATGAAATTTGGCATACGGACACATTAGTACTAACTGGATGTACTTACAAAAATTGATTTCAAAATTCCGAGAATTACGGAAGTTATAAGAAAAAACAGGAATTGCGGGGGAGTGGGGGGGTGCATCGAAAAAAAACTCAAACTCGTACTTTCTCGGTCTTAGGAGAATATGGAAACCAAGTTTGGTTATTCTAGCTCTTATACTTTCTGAGATCCTTGCGTTCATACAGACGGACATGGCTATATCGATTCGGCTTGTCATCCTGATCGATAATATATATTTTGTCGGGTCTGCCACGCCTCCTTCTGTGTGTTACATACATGTGCACAAAACTAGTATAGCCTTTCACCCTTTGGGTACAGGCTATAATAAATATGACAAATAAAAATATATTCCCTCTTTTTCTAAGTAACTTTTTTTCGAACTTCAGATTTACTAACTAATCAGATTTACTAATTGAACTCTCGTATGCTCGCATTTCCAGTCACGTGCACTTAAATTGAAGTTAACGCATTTTATACTTTGCAGCAGTTTCAATAATCACTGCACTTAATAATGTTTGCCATTTATTGGATTAGAAGCACACACACAAATACAGACTGGCATGCAGCAGCTCTAACTAAACGGAACGTCAAACATTGAATGCAAAAACCTCCTTGATTTCCCGTAGAGACAATCCACCATAGCCCTGTTGCTTACCCGAGCCCTTGCCTGCCCGCCTGCCTGCCTGATCTGGCTGGGCGGCCGCCTTCTTAGCTGTCGTTACACGCGAAGGCATTTCAGCAAGTTTATGAACTCTAACCCGCCCCACACACAAAATCCGCTCTGTGTGTGTGGATGAGTTTATGTCTGTAGTTGTGTGGGTAGCCGCCGATACCTTTACAAACATGCAGGCAGGCAGTCAGGCACTGTGTGCGCCAATGTGCCGCCCTGCTCCCGAGTTCCTTTACTTGTTGTTTGCCCTGCTGGCTGATGTTGCTGTTGTGCGGCAACATTGACAAAGATGCGATAATCGCTTCATTCATGGCTTAAGCCTTAAAGTAGGCAACGTTCTTTGTGTTTATGTGAGCAGAAACGAACTCTGTACGTATGTACTTACTTGTATGTGTGTGTATGCGAGTGTATACGTATTATGCGTGTGTGCATGCTTGCAGCTTTGCCCTCATCAACAATTGTGGGATGTTGCTGTTGCTGTCATTGTCATCGTCATCGCCATCGCCATCGCGTGCTTCCTCTCCTTCGCATGTTTACTTTATCTTCTTTTCAGTTCGTTTGCCGTCATTTCATTTGTGTGATTTTAATTACATTGTGCAAAAAATAATTTCTGTTATTTCAACAGTTGTTAAATAATTGCATTTTAAGTGCTTTTCAAAGGCATTGTCAGATTTGTCGGCTCCAACTCACGCATTCGACGGGTCGCATTCAGAAAATAATCGTGTGTTACTTACCAGACATCGCCATAGACGCCAGTTCCTGTTATGGCGGAAGGACCAGCAAATGGTGGCAGAACACTACACTAATATTATAAACAATTATGTGAACTATAACGCTGTTGTAATTCATAGAAGATTAAGATTATTATATATACATAAGAAATTTGTTGTGAATATAGACTTTCCCATCTGGCTGCTAGATTCAAAGTAATAGAACTAAGCAGAGGTAGCTGTTTTTACACAAAACAATAAAAGCCTCTAAGTTTCTTACCTTATCAACATGTTTTTATAGCCTGTAGCCAAAGAGTAAAAGGCTCCCGCTTTTTTGTGGAATTTTGTACTCAGATATCTCCTCCAAATACCAAATAACTCCAGTTAGTGATTATGAGTCCGTATGCCAAGTTTCGTTACGATACGGTAATTATGAAGAAAGTTATAGCCATAAATATAATCTCTGCCAAAGCTCTGCGCGCAGCTGTTGTTATTGTTGTTGCTTTGACTTGTTCCTGTACTGCATACGTACACGCATAGACACGATTCTGACGTAAATGTATGCTGTTGAAACTGTACATACACATTTATTTCATTTATTTATGTATAGTATGTATTGAATATTTTGCATTTAATTTAATAATTTCATTTAAAATTGACTCGACTTAAGCATTCCTTTCTTGTTTAATTGACACACTTACGAAACAAATATATACTTGTAGATTCATGCATGCAGCACCTATGAAGGACTATATGAGGCACCACCCTTCTAGTCTGTATTTGATTTTAATTAACATACTGTTTCGCTTGAATCTGTCACTTAAAAATGTATGCAAATCGTAATACGTGGCACGGCATTCATCCCGGAGGCATTGGCTAGCTTGCATTAATATCGTATCGATGTAAATTTAATCTCGCAACCGTATGTCTGTGCATAACTAACAGGGATCAGGAAGGCAGAGCCTGTAATGCGACACGCCCTGTCTCCATTTTAAATGAAATTAAAGTTATCGAAGAGGGCTCATTTAATTTTAGTGAATGTCGTGTGTGTCGTTTAAGATAGGCTTTTGTAAATCATTTTTGATGTTGAAGGAATACGTAGTTTACACGGCCTTTGGAAGAAGTACACATAATTCTGTTTTTATATGGTAGATTATTTCCAGAAAATATCGTGTAAAGAAGGACATTGATGCAAAAATACGTTGGTTCCTTATCTCTAAAATCTATTAAAATCTGTGCAAAAGCAAGGATTTATGTTTATTTTATTA